AGCTCCTTAGCTACTAAGCCTGCTTCAAGGACTCACAGAAGATCAAAATGCGTCAATTCAGCAGCTACAATGCTGCAAATCTGCTCACTCTCTTCCTCGGCGCAAAAGCTGCCGCAGAGTCTACCTGGCCCCAGCAGACCTTCCGCAGTACCTCTATCCAAGCGCCATATCTGAACGTCACCAAGAATGGCAAGACAGAACTAGGCAACCTCTTCTTCTCTCCATCCTCCTCGAGCATGGAATGGAGCTACCCAGTCATATACTCCGACGACGGTCAGCTTGTATGGCAAGGCCCCAATGCCAACACCTCCGCCTACCAGCCCCAAATGCTAGACGGCGAACCCGTCCTCGCCTACTGGCAGGGCGCCAACTACCTAGGCTACGGCTTTGGAGCAATCAGCATCCTCAACGCCTCCTACCAGGAGATCCACCACATAACACTCCCCGGGACTGACCAACACTTCGTCACCACCGCCGACCCGGAAACCTTCCCCTCCTACATCGACATTCACGAGAGCCAGATCACCTCAGACGGCACGATCCTCGTAACAGCCGTGAACGTCACCCAATGCGACCTCTCCCCCATCGGTGGCCCCAAAGACGGCTGGGTCCAAGACGGGCTCTTCTACGAAATTGACATCAAGACCAACAAAGTCCTCTTCCGCTGGAGCACAGTCGAACACCTCTCCGAGATCCCCGTAACAAACACCGAACTCCCCCTCCTAGGATCCGGCACCAGCAAGTCCGATCCCTACGAATACCCCCACCTCAACTCCGTAGCCAAATACGGCGACTCCTACCTCCTCTCCTCCCGCTTCATGTGCAGCATCTTCCTCCTTGACAAAAACGGCAACGTAACCTGGCACCTTCACGTACGTCCCTCCCCTTCCCTTCCTCCCCCTATCACCACACCCACTAACACACACCCACCCACAGGGCCAAAAAGGCGCCTCCTTCACCCTCCTCCCCGGCAGCAGCTTCTGCTACCAACACGACCCACGCTTCATCAATTACTCCCCAAACGCGACATCCCTAACACTGCACCTACACAACAACGAAAACGCCAACGTCTTCACCTCCCCCACAACCATCACCACAGGCCTAACCCTCACTCTTGACATGCAAAACCATACCGCAACCGCCGTCCGCAAGCTCTGGAACCCCGATTCCCCCGTCTTCGCCGTAAGCCAGGGCGGCTTCCAGCCACTTCCGAACGGACACGTGCTGCTCCAGCACGGCGCGATGCCCGTGATTGAGGAATACGATGAGAACGGGGCGTTGGTGATGAACGCGCGGTTTGGATTCGATGAGTCGACGCAGTCGTATCGTGGATATCGGTTCCGCGAGTGGGTTGGGAAGCCGACGACGAGGCCGGAGGCGGTGGCATGTCGGGAGGGGGGTAGGGTGGTGGTTTATGTGAGTTGGAATGGGGCGACGGATGTGAGGGGGTGGAAGGTAAGGATGGGGAGTGAGTTGGGGGTTGTGGGGGATGTGACGGAGAAGAATGGGTTTGAGACGAGGATTGTGCTTGAGGGGGTGGTGGGGAGGGATGGGGAGAAGGTGGTTGTGCAGGCTGTTGGAGGGGTCGGGGATGGTGTGCAGTCCGGGGTTATTAAGGTGGGTGAGGGGTGTTCATAGTATGATTACTTACTATTAGTCGATTGTATATAGCTAGAGTAAGGTATATATCATGGATGAGTTATTTCATTATGCGAATTAATGCTTGGTGAGTAGGCTATAATGATATCAACGGCAGTCCTCACATACAAGGCTTTAAATATACAAAAGGGTATTAAACGCTACGCTACGCTTTGTCTCATGCGCCTGCCACATAATCCATCTACAGCTTCGAACTAGGCGTGATGGCCTTCCTCCTCATTTGCCTTATGGAGACATCAATCTCCTCCGCCGCAGCGGGACTAGGACTTGCGTCCTCGAATAACTTGCGGCCCACGACATCCGACATGTGCAGAACCCGCGACGAGACTGTTGCGCCGTCACGGCGGTTTTTGCTTCGAAATGTCAGTATGCCAGGCCAATGTATTTGAGAGAAGATGATGTAGTATCATTCGACTTACCCCTCACGTCTGGACTGTGCAATCAGCTCAGTAAAGTCCCAGAGACGACCACGAGGAAGAAGCTTTCCCGTGGTTGGATCCCGCTCAGGCGTCCATTCTGGGGCTAGCTTCATCGTGGATATCTTTGATCCTTTGCTTTTGGCGACTTGGATGATGCCTTCTTCTGCAAAGCGCTGGTAGGAGTTTCGGAGGGTCTCCTTGTTGACGGCTTCGAAGTAGGAGAGGTCGCCTTGGTGGTAAAGTGTTTTGCCAAGCTAGATTATGTGTTAGTATTTACTAGAAACCATTGGTGATGATTCGAATTACCAGTTGAGCGCTGTTTTGGGCCTTGTTCAAATCGATCCAGACATCTTCAGCGCCGTTGAGAGGGGGCGTCAGTCCGAGGAGAGAGACGGAGCCGAGCCAGGAGGCTTCAATGAATGGCCAGACTAGGAAGCAGTAGAAGTCATAGTTCTCGCGGCCACATTGCCGTTCTGCGTCGCTGAGCTCCACGAATTGTGGCGCGCCGGCCGCGTCTCGGCTCACGGTGATTATGTTGTCTCTTTCGAGTCCACGCAGGGTCTTTTCCATGTTTGTTGTCAGGCCCTCAGGAGGGAAGATGAATTCGCCACGGAAGAGCTGGTTTGGTTAGCGGGGAGATTCCTAGGGTATAATTAGAGATTTGACTCACCTGAGACAGGAACGAAACCTGGTTTAGGAGATCTTGGTAGGATATGCGCTGATAAGACGGCCCGCCGCCTTGCTTAATCCTCGTATACATTCCCGCAGACACCAGCGCCTCCGTGATAAACAAGTGAATGGTCATGTTGCGATAAAACGAAAGCTGGAAACGATCCACAGCATAGTATGTCGGTTCGACCAGTCCGCTCACCTCGCCCACAAGCTGCGGCCCCAAGACCTCTAGCGCACGGTCGACAACGACATCTGTTGGGTAACGATAGAAGTGAGCGACCCGTCCGCCCTTTGCTCGAACACGCTCGCATAGCCATTCGACGCGTCGGACCATTTCACCCTTTCCGACACCTCGACCGCGAAGAGTAAGAAGTACCGTGCCAACCAGAGCCGTAGGCATCATTACAGAAACGTCGTTGATGTCAGACAAGACCCTGTAACCCAAAGATCTCAATACCCGACCTCTATCAGCATAGCTCAGCTGCGGGCCACCATTTGCGACAATCTGTTCCGGCATTCGTGTCAATTGCTGGTTGATGAACTCTCTCAAACTCCATGGCTCGTGGAATCGAACATCAACCCGACCGAGCTTCAAAGAGAGGACGGAGGACGAGGACAGGAAATCAGCCAGGTTTTCCTTCCTCTTCGGTTGACCAAGCAGTTCGCTGATGTAGGACCTAAACATATGGTTAGTAATCAGTAGTTGATTATTAGGGGAGCACATACTCAGTCTCAATCACTTTGTCATACTGTGTGCTGACAGGGCATATGATGGTGTCCTCCACACGACCTGAGAGGACGCTGTCTAAAATGAAGCTAAGAATGCCAAACTTGGGCGAAAGAAGCTTTCCGGTTCTCGAACGACCACCTTCAATGAAACATTCAAAGTTGAACCCTTGCTGCAGCATGGTATCAATATAAGCCTGTACAACGGTGTTATATAGCGGATCGTTTCCAAAGCTTCTCCGAATCCACATCGCGCCTAGGCAAGTCAGCAAGCGCATAATATTCCGAGGCGAATCAAATCATACCTGCATGCTGGAGGAAAGGGCCGAGCATCGGGATGTTGAGGTTCTCTCCCGCCACCACGACCGGAAGCCCAATTCCAAGGCGATAGCAGATAAGCTGGAGCGACACATAGTCGACATGCGATTTATGACACGGCAAAAAGACAATAGATTGCTTCTTGGCGGCTGCCTCTTGCGCAAAAGATCTCAGCCGGAGGACTTCTTCGCTAGACACGTGTATTCCTGAGACTTTCGTTAACAGGATTCCTTCAATACGTCGGATACCCTCCCACCTTGATGGTAAGCGCGCGTCAGAAGCTGCGTGCAGAGATAGTACGCCCCCCGGATGAACCTCTTGCTCTCCATCTTACATATCATGTTATCCAGCATAGAATCTACCACCTCTTTCAGATTACTTTGTATCTCATTCCGGCGGTGTATCCGTTTCTGCTCCAGGGGTCCTGGTGTCACATCCAACAATCCTTCCTTCTCCTCCACTGTTAACCGTGCCTCCGCCAGCTCCTTCACCTTCCCTTGCAACAAGGGACTTGCAAGAATCCGGGACTTCATTCGATCCGTAAAACCAGAATAGAATATGGGTTGTCCGATCACATCATCGTAGGCGCGCCAACCGGTTCCTGACATGTACAAGCTCACTTCTCGTAGGAAATCGAAAGGGTTCTCGCGAAACCTCGCCATATGGCGGACGAGGTTGCGTTCGGTAATCTGTTCATCTTGAGGTTCCAGCCCTCCAGTAACTCCACTGGGATGAATGGTGACTTTGTTTCCCACGATCTCGAGATCCGGTGCGGAGTCGCCGACCGGGGACTTATCGGAAGGCATAGCGTCTCGGGCGGGGAGAGGGGAGGGAGGGAATGTTCACTTGAGAGCTCTGTAATTATAATAAGCAGGTCGATAGATCTCAGCGGTCATAGACTGCTGGGATGAAGTCGAGCGACATCAAGTGAGAGGGAGAGCAAGAATAGGCATTGTCATGATCGACCAGCTCCTGGTTCCTGAGGAGGCAAGCGAGGGTCCCAACCAGGCGAAGATCCCCGGCTTCTTCCCCAGAAATGCCTCGGGACGATTCGTGCTGCCGCCGCTCACGTGAGTCCCAACGGCCTTGCGCCCCGTGCAACCGTACGCTAGGCTGGATTGGGCAATGGCACTGGACTGTCCAGGAACTTCAGTTCACCGAAAGCTTGAGGGATGAGCGCAACGCGGCAGCTCGGAGCACGCTTTTCATGCCCCAATTATCACACCACCAAGCATGCCGTCTCGGTTACATTGGCTTCACCCGGGCTGAGCATCGTCGCAGACACCAACAGCTGCGGTCTCCCTCCTAAACACCATCACTGTGGCTAATTGGGCCTGAGCTGTGCGACCTGCTCCACTGCGGGACTCTTAAGAGGCACCTACGGTACAATCGACAGGGCCCTTCGTTGCAACCTCCCAGAACTCGCATTCACCATGTTCGGCTGGACACGGCGCTTCTCCAGTATGGACCCCCCTGAACGCACAATCATTTATCCCCTGCTGCTGCTGAATGACACCTGCTAATTATCCCCTCACACCTTCCCACAGCCGCCACATCTTTCCTCAAAACCACGACAATGGCCGTTTCCTCCCGCCAGCAGCACACTTTCCAAGTCTTCCGCGATGTGCCCCCACTTCGCAAGCTGCGTCGAGAGCTCCTCCTCTCCAACCGGACCGTCGGTCTCGTCCCGACCATGGGTGCTCTCCATGAAGGCCATCTCTCCCTCATCCGACAAGCCGCGGCCGAGAATACCGACGTCTTCGTCAGCATCTACGTTAACCCGACACAGTTCGGTGTAACGGAAGACCTCTCCAGCTACCCGCGCACTTGGGACAGTGATGTTGCGAAGCTAGAGGAATTGAATGCGGAGCTGGCCCGCCAGAACACCAACAGCGGTCGCATCACCGCCATTCTGGCGCCTACCTCCAAGGTCATGTACCCGACGCTGCCGCCTTCGTCCGATATCGACGGCGACGGATCCTTCGTGACCATCACCCCTCTCTCCCGGAAGCTCGAGGGAGCTTCTCGGCCGGTTTTCTTCCGTGGAGTTGCGACTGTCTGCATGAAGCTGTTCAACATTGTCCATGCCGACCGGGCTTACTTTGGTCAGAAGGACGTGCAGCAAACCGTGGTCATCAAGCGTCTCGTGAAGGACTTCTACATCGATACGGAGATCAAGATCGGGGACACTGTTCGTGAACACGATGGTTTGGCAATGAGTTCGAGGAACGTTTACCTTGGCAAGAGAAGACGGACAGTGGGTCTGGTCCTCTACGAAGCCATGAAGGCGGCGGAGAATGCCTACAACACTGGCAAGGTCAACCGCAGTGAGATTCTTGACGCAGCGAACAGCGTCACTGAACGGGTTCTGTCTGAGCAGAAGGCCTTGGCGCCCACGGAGAGGGCTCTGTATGAGGTTGACTACATCTCTCTGGCTGATCCGGATACTCTGGACGAGCTGGAGGTTGTCGATCCTGCTAAGGGCGCCATTCTGAGTGGCGCGGTGAAGATGGCTCCGCTGGAGGAGGCGAAGCCGGGCGAGGACTGCGGCCTCGGTGATGGCCAAGTTCCTGTGCGTTTGATCGACAACTTGATCTTCAAGCCGCGGGTTTAAAAAAGCTCGTTCTGTCTGTCCGTTGCCCGATCCATTCAAAAGCAAGTGTCATATACCCGACGTCATTTAAGTAGAACTCAATAGCGTATATAGAGTACCTAAAAGTCTATACCTTCACATACATTAAAAAGCAATCATACACACTACTCCAAACCACCTAAATAACCCCATAGCAACCCCCCTCTGCAACATCCAGCTATCACCCAAAAACAGAAAATAGGGCAAGATCGCAGGGTTTCGGAAGCACCCCGGCCCGAGAAAATTTCCCTCTGGAGTAAAGTTTCTTCCCGGATCGATCCAGTACTAGAACCTCCCCCAGCAAACAACAAAAAAGGAAGACAAAAAAAAAGAGAAAAAGGCAGGCAGGTACCTACCTACCTACCTAACATCTTCCAAAATGGCCGACGACGGTCTCCTCCTCAACTTCACCATCCCCGACACAACCGTCCTCAAACCCGAAAAAACCAAAGTAAAAGGCGGCACATGGCGGGACCGACTCAGCGCAAAGAAAATCGCGGCGCACCGAACGAACAACCCGCGCAAAGAGAAATCATCCACAGATGGCGAGCAGCAACAAACTAGCAACCCCCGGAACCCGAATCGCATTCAAGTATCCGGTCCGCGGCCGGTGAAGAGACAGCGCATTGGTGACGATGAGGAGAATGGAGGATCGCAGCAGCAGCAGCAACCACGCCAGCAACAACAACATCCTGGGGGTCCCCGACATGTCGTATCCTCGCTTTTCTCGAAAAACCCGAGACCTCGAACCGCTTTCGAAGCGAAGAAGAACGGAGGCGAAGAAGAGGAAGACGCCAAGCCGACGAACGCGCCGCTGATTGATGGACTGGACACATTCACGAACCTGGGACTATCGGCACCGCTGGCGGCGCATTTGCTGACGAAGCTGGAGGTGAAGGCGCCGACGGCGATTCAGAAAGCGAGTATCACGCAACTACTCAAGGAGGAGAGCGATGCGTTTATACAGGCGGAGACGGGATCCGGAAAGACAATGGCGTATTTGCTGCCGCTTGTGCAGCGGATCATGACGATTTCGCTGAATCAGAAGAAGAGGGAGGAAGCGGAGCAAGTGCAGCGCGATAGTGGGTTATTTGCTATTGTGTTGGCGCCGACGAGAGAGTTGTGTAAGCAGATTTCGGTGGTGTTGGAGGGGTTGTTGCGGTGTGCGCATTGGATTGTGGCGGGGACGGTGATTGGAGGAGAGAAGAAGAAGAGTGAGAAGGCACGGTTGAGGAAGGGGTTGAATATTCTGGTTGCGACGCCGGGTCGGTTGGCGGATCATTTGGAGAATACGCAGGCCTTGGATGTGAGTAATGTGCGGTGGTTGGTGTTGGATGAGGGAGATCGGTTGATGGAGTTGGGGTTTGAGAAGGAGTTGGCGGGGATTATTCAGAAGCTGGATGCTAGGCAGCGGCCGAGTCGGATTCCTGGTATTCCGGCGAAGAGGACGACGATATTGTGTTCGGCTACGTTGAAGATGACGGTGCAGAAGCTGGGAGAGATCAGTTTGAAGGATGCGGTGCATATTCAGGCGGATCCGGCGGATGAGGATGGCGAGCCGAGGAAGAAGGATGAAGATGATGCGTTTCGGGTGCCGGCACAGTTGAAGCAGTCGTATGCGATTGTTGCGTCGAAGCTACGGCTTGTTACGCTTACGGCGTATATGAAACGGACGTTTATGAGGAAGGGGTCTGTCATGAAGGCTATCATTTTTGTGTCTTGTGCGGACTCTGTGGACTTTCACTTTGAGGTGTTTACACGGAAGAATGGAGATGAGGAGGAGAAGAAGGAAGAGAGCGAGGATAGTGATGAGGAGGATGAAGAGGAGAAGAGGAAGAAGCTCGGTGCTTCGGCTCATGGAACTATTGCGCCTGCTACGGCCTTTTCGAATCCCTCCAACCCGGTGACGCTGCATAGACTGCACGGTTCTCTGCCCCAGCATGTCCGGACGGCCACCCTGGGTGCCTTTGCCCGCAACCGCGAACCCTCCGTGCTAATCTGTACTGACGTTGCGTCCCGTGGTCTGGATCTTCCGAACGTTGATCTAGTCGTGGAGTACGACCCTGCCTTCAGTGCCGAGGACCATCTGCACAGAATCGGACGTACTGCGCGTCTGGGACGTGACGGTCGTGCACACATCTTCCTCATGCCTGGCTGTGAGGAGGGTTACGTCGACATTCTGAAGAAGGGATACCGTGACGGCGGAAAGTCGCTGACACGCAACACCGCGGACGACATTATGAAGCGCGGATTTGGAGGAAATGTCGAGTCACAGAACGTAGACTGGGAGGAGAAGGCCACCGAATGGCAGCTGGATGTGGAACGGTGGGCATTGGAAAACAAAAACTACCTCGAAATGGCCCGCCGAGCTTATCAGTCTCACATCCGCGCCTATGCCACACATATCGCCAACGAGCGGAGCATGTTCAACATCAAGGAGCTTCATCTCGGACATCTGGCGAAGAGTTTCGCTCTGCGTGATCGTCCCAGCAAGATCAACGTTCCTGGTCTCCGCCAAGGACAGGCCGACACCAAGAAGGACTTCAAGGCCGACCGCAAGCCAGTCGCAGGAAAGAAGAGAAAGGCTGGTGGTCACGATGACGACGACGATGATGTTCCTCGTCAAACGGACACTCTCACGGCAGCTCAGAAGATGAGGGCGAAGATGAAGGAGCACATGGCGGGAGCAAGCGAGTTCAATCTTGCTTGATCGGCAACACACATGTAAATAGTAATTGACGACAAATCAATAGATATCCCACAATGAGATTTTTCCGTCCTTTGACCCAGCCGCTAACCAATGCGTATTCTGCACCTTTTCGTATCTCTGCCGATGCACCGTTGCAAGCGAGTATTCCGTCTCTGCCCGTCTGGCGAGCTGTGTTTCTTCATTTCCACTGCTGTTCGACGAAACCGTAGGCTGCTTTTCTTCATCTGCTTTCTCGGACACATCAAATACATCAACATCCGCAAACGCCACAGCGTAGCAACCATCTTTATGCCACTTCAATACGGCTAATTCCTTCATCGTCTTGCACGAGTAGACCCTGACCCTAGAATCCCACCCCGCAGTAGCGAAAATCTTCCCATCAGACCGTATCCGCACACCTTGCTGGCCCGCATGCTTCGTGTTGATCGACTTGATCGGTGACTCTTCCGGGGCATGTCCCGGGCTACCAAGCGTGGGAATGGGATGCTTCGCCAGCACCGCATCGGCCGAGGAAGAAAAGAAGTAATTGCCAGCAGGCGAGACATGAAGCGACAATACCGGTTGCGAATGAGCTCGACAAATGTACAACTTCTCCCACTTCCACGGCGTTTTGGCACCCTGTGTCAGATCTTTCTCCTGCAAGGATCCCCTGCAGCCATGGACCATAACGCGACCATCTTCGTAAGCGGAAGCAACATATAGCTCCCCAGATGGGGATATGATGAGGTTAGCCGCCATGACCATTCCAGTTTGTACGTCCGTATCTGCTGGAATGGTGCAGATACGTCTCTCCTGGGGGAGATGAAAGAGATCGATCGCGCCAGAGTTCAGAGCGTTAGGGACAACGATAAGCACCGATGAAAGCGACGTGTTCTCTTTCGAGGAGCCACCGGTATCGCTTGCCATGTTGGCCTTATCCTGGGGAAGGAAAACCATGGAGAAGGCGCAGAAATTCAGCGCATTCACAGGAAGCGAATGTACCAGCCATGGCTGGCTTGCGGCAGCTGAGGAGGTTTTCTCGATGTCCACGGGGAGGGTCTTCTGAAGATTCTCCTCATCCTGGACGCTGAATCTCCATAAGCGCAGTTTGTGGTCTCTTCCATGCCTGTAGAAGCTGTTAGTTGGGTCATGGGAAGAATGGGAAAGTAACGCACGTGAACACCTCTGTAACAGCGCCATTTCCGAACTTAAAACCCTTGACTTCAAGGACAGCGCCGTCATGGGCCTTCCATGTCGCTCGAGGGCGTTTTGATACTAGGTCCCATACGACAATCCATCCGTCTGCATCTCCTGAAACGAGCCTTAGGTTCTGGTGGAAGATCTGTAGCGCGTGGATGGCAGCGGCATGGCCGCGTAAAATGTAAGTGGGGGTTGCCGGTGGTTGCCGCACCTGCGGAGATTGTGCACTCATTTGGTGGCTCTGGTTTTCTTATTGTGTATTATATTGGTGTAGTGTGTATGATAAGTCTGTTTCAGTCGGATTATTTGTTCATTTAGTTGTCATGGTACTGCCGTGCGATTGAGTGAGAGAAGATGCCGAACGGGAATTCAGAATGACTGCGGTCTTGGCAATATGTTTGGTCTCCGCCAGCATGGATGGATGTTACCAGCTACATTGTATTACAGTGCGTGGGGCATCCCAAATGAGTGGTAAATAATATATTCATCTCTTGTTTCTTTTCGAGAACGTTGAAATGCTTTTTGGATTCTTAGCTATAGATTGCTGATGTAGACTAGCACTGGTAAGTATTAGCCAATCTACAATTTCAACTAGTACTATCTGGTGAAGTATCAATGTGGCAGTTGAAGCAAGATCCCGTCTGCCAACTAGAGCTGAGCCATGAGTCTTGAATAGGAATGAGATCCGTACTATCGCTTACGAAGAGCTGGCTCAAGCTCCTCAGAAACCGGTCGGTAGTCGTCAAGTAAGCGACTTCCTCGCCCGTTCTGATCTTCCATTCTTCGCAATTCGACCTCCTCCGTTCGCGCAAATCTCGCCTCCATTAGCATCGCCTCATTCAACAATACTGCGGGATGCCAGATGCGAAGCACAACATTGGCAGATAACATAGGCAGCCCATCAAAAAGACACACTAGACTTTCATACGTGAAAGAGTAACCTTGCCATTCACTCGCCAACTCAATCAGACGATAAGTGCTTCGAATCATCGTACAAGCCAAAGCAAACGCAAGCACGGTTATATTCTTGCACATCGGCCTTCTCAGGATGAGTCGATGTCTCGCTTGAATGATCAAGTATCCGAACAGTACCACGAATATACCGATAGACATGAGCTGTACAACGCAGCCAGCGGTGAGGATATAGAGCCCCAGCCTATCTAGGCTGTTGGTAATGATGGCATTGTATGCCAGTGAAAGCCCAATGGCCTGGACGATGAGACTAAGACATGCAAGAGTCATACAGACATCCGTCCACCGCTTAGGCCTGAGAGGTGATCGATTTCGGTCTATGATTGCGTACACGAGGTCTAGGGCTCCGTAAATACCCAAGATTGTAAAGTATGGAGCTTTTCTATGCCTTAGCCAGGTCATTCCCAATATAAGCTCATTCGACTGTATCCTTACCCGACCATAAAACTGACAGCTGTATCATCCATATGATAAAGCTATATGGACAGCGATAAGCCAAAGTGCGGGCAAGCCATCCGATGAACTCAAATGCAGCCCCAAGTGACAGGAGCATTCCTATCCAGGGACATATGGTGTTGCGTGCTTGCGAAACATGGGTTGTTAAGACACCAAGGAAGGCAACCGTGAAAAGGATTCCAGCTGTGATAGAAGGACGATAACCGAGCAGCGGTGCAACCTCCGGATCGAATGAATAGCAGTTCCACGTTGACATGATGTCCGGTGTGGTTAGGGGAATCTTGCTCGTACTTGTGGGAAGTTCGTTAAGTAGTAGAAAAGGAAGAAGACACATCTTTCGATCAAGACTGCAGAAGGTAGCCTTGGTATCAGTAAACGGCAGGTGCGTTGAGGCTGACAGTTGCAGCAGCAGCCAGGAGTCAGAGAAAGGAAGCTGCTCCTGGCAAACTCCTATTCGGCACAATAACTAGCAAATCCATCTACTGCCAGCGTAGGATGTCTAACTTATAGTCGCGCACTTCATTCTAGACTCGGTTAGTGTTAAATGCTGCTTGTCGCGGTAGAAGTACCGAAAGGGCGTGGAGGTTCTCACAAAAATAAGAGACGCTATGTGCCCTGCTCAGATCGATAGAAGGCATTAGATGTGTACGCAGAGAGCGGATGGAGAAGCACATGGAAATGAATGACCTCAGGTGTTAGATGGGAAAGGATAGGGAGGTAGAAGGAAGGACAGAAAGTCAAAGTAGGATAGAGGTGTGAAGAAGGGGAGAGAGCGAGAAGAGGAGACGAAGGTAATAACAGGCAGCGAACGTCCCCTCAGCGAGACTAATGAGTGACAGTTCTCTGTAGGTAAGCAGAATATCATAGCTAGGTGAGGTCTGATTCTGATTTATCTGATGTCACAAATTGCAAGATGTAAGAATCCGTTTTCACTCCCAGGAGTGTATAGATATTTGTGTCAGGCTGAGGGTGTATTAGATGACTGTAGTGACGAGTTTCATGGCGATGCAGTATAGCAAAGTAGTGCGAGTAGTATTTTGAGATGAAAGTAAAGATAATTCGCGCTCTCAAACTTCCAGTCTGTCAGGTGGTAATGTCATCATTGCAGCTTTTGACTTCATGATTCTTTCATGTTTGGATGTCGAGATAACATAGAAGTCAAAATGAACTCATAATCAACCATTGGAATCCAGAAGCCAGGAAACCAGGATATCCCATGATGCATCTTTTGATAGGAAATTCCTTTCCGGGTCAGTAACTCCCATAGCTAACAATTGGAATACATGATATAGAAGCTGAAGAAGAGGGAGAAGTAGAAGAACTACAATGATCCCGCAGCAGAGGGAGGATCCGCCAGTTGGCCCGGGCAACACCGCCCTCGTGATTGGCTTCAAGCTGTAACTGCTGCTCTCAATTGTCGCATCATCCCATCACCACCAAATCATTCCCCTCTCCATCTGAGCTGTTGGTTTCTCGCCGGCCCTCCTCTCCTCCCCCTCCTCCTTTCCTTTCTTCTCCTCAATTTCTCCCTTTCTCTTCCTTTCCCCGTCATCCTCGCACCAACTCTTCATATATCCTCTCCCTCATTCCCCACCTGGGCTCTCCACGCCTGGTGTCCGCTCCGGCGTCTAAACTCCGCGACACAGCTACAGCTAAAACCATGCCAAGTGAGTCTGCTATGGTCGTGGCTCCCGCGGAGCTCCTGTGTCTCGTCTTCTTCCAAGCTAATATAATTTCTCTGTCACAACAGTCCGTCCGCTCGATGAATGGGCCGCGACCCGCACCCAGTCCCTCCCCCTCTCAGCTCTCAAAGGGGCGGTTGTCGGTATCGATGCGTCGCACTACATTTCTCAACACCTCCTCCAACCGTCCACGCGCGAGCCCCTTCTGGTCGCCCTCGGTGGCTTTCCATTCGCACTGAAGAGCAACATTGAAAGAGAACTGAAGGCCTACAAGGATCTGGGCGTGGCTTGTATTTTCGTGTTCAATGGTCTCGACTTTGGCAAAAAGGATCAACGACCCCACGTGCAGCAGGAGTCGGTCCGGGCATTCGAGCAGGCCTGGGATCTTTACGATCAACAGCAGGCGGACCAAGTGGTGGATGCGTTCAGCAGCGCCGGTATGTTAATGGTGGAATCCGATTCTTGAGCGTCTGGTCCTGACTGTCGTCTGTCCTAGGCACCCCTCGACCCGAGTCGCTATACCGCTTCTTGCAGCGCATACTTCTTCAACATGGCGTGGATTACATCGTTGCTCCCTATAGTGCTGCAGCTCAGGTACGGATGCCGCTGCCTCGATTGGCTCCATTTGCGCCATTCTGACCTTTGTGTATTATAGCTCTCCTACCTGGCCAAGGGACCGAACCCGCTGATCGATGCTATCTGCGGCCCCTCCGAAGTGTTGATGTTCGACGTGGAAAAGCTGATCACCCGCATTGAGATTGACCCGGCGCAATTTTTCTGGATCAACAAACAGACATGTCTGGAAGAACTAGGCCGCCTATCAAATGATCAGTTCTTGGACTTTTGCCTTCTCTTGGGCTCTTCCTTCCTCCAGCCCTTCCCTGGTTTCGAAACCCATGTCTTCCCCGGAAAGAACCCTACGGTCCGAGATGCTCTGCCAATGTTCAACGCGGCAGGACGAAGCGCTCTCGCGCTCTGCGCTCAGTTTGAAGAGGATCGCCGGATGCAGGAGCTTGAATACACGGATCGTTACAAGCGCGCATGCATGACTGTGAAACACCATGTCTACATTGATGTTGACGGCAGAGTAGGTCCTATGGACCAGGAGAATGCCTCGTCCGATATGCACGCAGTGATCGGCCTGCGCCTCCCAGAAGAGCTTTACTTCTACTTGTCCAAGGGAATTCTGGGCCCCGATGTGCCCAACTATTTGACGTCGGGTGAAGTCCTCATCTCATTGCCGTTGGGCGTTGAGGACACGGAAATTTACCGCCAAGTTGCCGGCAGCACCCTCACACCTATCCGGACTCAGTCGATTTGCCTGCTATCGAACTCCCTCCATCGGTTCTATCAGACCAAGGTTATCAATGTGCGAACGTGGTTTGATGAAAAATCCCCTTCGACGATTAACCTCCGAGATCTTCCTCCAGTTAAAGATTCGATCCAGTCTTGGAAGATTCCCACCGAGCAGCTTCCCGAGAGCTTGCAGAAACTACAGGCAAGTTCTATCTTCGATCACCATTGTAAGCGCTGCTAACCAAAAATCAGGGCTCGTGTGGACGCTTCCAATTTGCTGTCCAGAGCTTGAAAGATAGTGACTTTGTAGCGAAGTCCAAGGCTACGAAAGATACTAAGGTAGGCATCTTCTGCCCCAGATCGCAAGCGAGTGAGCTGACACATGCTAGCAATTATCGTCACAAGATGAGCTGCTTGCCAATGTGTTCTGGCGCTTCCTGCAGCTTCGCGGCTACATTGATGAGAAACATCAACTTACCCAGTGGGGAGTCTGCCTTGAGCAAGCATTGTCGGGACTTGATCCGGCGGATGCGCTTGAGGAGCCAACATTCCTTGCCATTGAGATGATCCGGTTCGGCCTGCTCAACTCCAAGCAGTGGTTCTCCCATGTTTCGGGAGGTCCCATGAGAGGATCAGGTAAGATTGAGGTTCTGTAGCTATGAAACGGTGCTGATTTATTCCACCCAGACGAGGATAAGAGCCTCAACATGCTTGTTTCCCGCCTTGCTTGCATCGCCAAACTCCAGCACAAGAGCATCGGTTATTCTGGACCCCTGAGCCGACAGCTGCTCTGCTACCGATCCCTAATTTCCGAGGTTCGTTCTACGCTACGGATGCTCATCGAGGTGGTTCTCGCCAGTCTGCTCCTGAGTGGCGATGCTGACCGGGAGCGAAACGATTGGGGCGAACTGAGCATCAAGTAAGTGGACATGTGGACATGGTGCGCCATGTGATGTATCTGACGCGACATAGGCTCCCATTCATCGACGACAACGACTGCGGTCTTGGAATTGCTGTCCGTACCTACCTTGATGACCTGCCCTTGCAAGCAGATCCCACATCGCCAGAGGCGCGGGCAGAAGTGAAATCGAAGGGCAAGGAATGGTTCCAGCATAGCGACAGCTTTACGGGCAACCTGGACATGGCGTTCAAGCTGTGGGATGCGGTGAGTCTGAACTGTCTATCTTTGCCGGCGTATTTACTCATCTACTTCCTAGGTATACCGCGGTACGCAGAGCGCAGGCAAGGAACTTAAGGAGGGCAAGCAGTGGGAGGATGCGAACCGCTGGTTGGCCGAGCGGCGGTAAGGGACATGTGTAGAGTATCCTCCTAGAACCAGAGGAAACACCACTTGTCCACGATTTCACGAACCATGGCAGTTGTGTCGGCTGGGTGGTCCAGGACCACCTGAAAGCTTCGCCCTATTCTACTCCAACCACGTTGTATAATTAGGAATGGAAGGGACTGGCAGGCGCCACACCAGTATTATTATTATCCCCCAGCGTAGCCAGAACCGGCGAAGAGAGCGTAGTGGCGAATGCAACGATATATTTAGCCGTAAAGCCGCTGATCGAGTTGGAGTTGATTAGTGATGCTTAACTTACCAAGTGTCCTCTTCCGACCCGCTCGGTCTCCGCAGCGCTTCCGCCTTCCACGCCGGGAGCTCATACGACTATATCTACACTCCGCCCAGCAACCACCCCTTCCTCGCTGAACGGACAGACCTGGTATTGACAATTATATTGTCAATTGCCCTACTCCAACCTCTCCTTTAACCAAAACAACACCATCCATCATGGTCCGTCTCAGCAACCTCGTGAGCTGCCTCGGCCTGGCCTCCGCGGTCACCGCAGCCGTGGTCGATCTCGTTCCCAAGAACTTCGACGACGTCGTCCTCAAGTCCGGCAAGCCCGCTCTGGTTGAATTCTTCGCTCCCTGGTGCGGTCACTGCAAGAACCTCGCGCCCGTCTATGAGGAGCTGGGCCAGGCATTCGCCCACGCCTCCGACAAGGTCACCGTCGGCAAGGTTGATGCGGACGAGCACCGCGACCTGGGCCGCAAGTTCGGCGTGCAGGGATTCCCCACGCTGAAGTGGTTTGATGGAAAGAGTGACGAGCCGGAGGACTACAAGGGTGGTCGTGATTTGGAGAGTCTGTCTTCGTTCATCTCTGAGAAGACCGGTGTCAAGCCCCGTGGACCTAAGAAGGAGCCCAGCAAGGTGGAGATGCTGAACGACGCGACTTTCAAGGGTGCTGTTGGTGGTGACAATGATGTTCTGGTTGCTTTCACTGCGCCGTGGTGTGGACGTGCGTATTTCCAGCTTTGCCATCACATTCTAAGGAATTGTTTGCTAACACTGTCGCTGAACTACAGACTGCAAGAACCTCGCTCCTACCTGGGAGGCTCTGGCCAACGACTTCGTCCTCGAGCCCAACGTTGTGATCGCCAAGGTTGACGCCGATGCTGAGAATGGCAAGGCCACCGCCAGAGAGCAGGGCGTGTCCGGATACCCCACCATCAAGTTCTTCCCCAAGGGATCCACTGAATCCGTTCCCTACGAGGGTGCCCGCTCCGAGCAGGCCTTCATCGACTTCCTCAACGAGAAGACCGGCACCCACCGTACCGTTGGTGGTGGTCTCGACACCAAGGCCGGTACCATTGCCAGCCTGGACGAGCTGGTTGCCAGCACTTCCGCTGCTGATCTGGCTGCTGCGGTCAAGAAGGCTGCTGCTGAGTTGAAGGACAAGTACGCTCAGTACTACGTCAAGGTTGCCGACAAGCTCAGCCAGAACGCCGAGTACGCCACCAAGGAGCTTGCTCGTCTCGAGAAGATCCTGGCCAAGGGAGGATCGGCCCCTGAGAAGGTCGACGACCTCATCTCCCGCAGCAACATCCTCCGCAAGTTTGTTGGCGAGGAGAAGGAGGCCAAGGATGAGCTGTAGATATTGTATGGATTATGACTTGTTTAGCTAGGTGACGGTCACCTAGATTCTATTACTCTGTATGATATCGAGAGGCAGTTATGAGAATGTTATCGATGCGAACAGTACATCATCCATCCTATGTGCATGTAGTATATTGTAAATGTAATGATCAGTGTAAGGGTATCTTCAATTCCACCTCAACCCACGCACAACCCAGCCGTATGTATCACCCCCTAATCCATAAACAACGAAAGAGAGCTCCCCCAAGTATACACAAAGAAGCAAATCCCATAACACCATAACCCCAACCAACAGTATAAACAATACTCAATCAATCACTTCTCAGGACTCCCACTCCCAGCCACACTCCCAGCCGCACTCCCCACCACTGACCCAGACCCCGTCCCCGACCCCGTCCCGGACGCCGCAGCACCCCCGGACGTAGTCGTCCCATCCACAACCGTAAACGAAGCCTCTAACTCATCCAACCGTCTGGCCATATCGTCCACTACACAGAATACCCATGTTTATCAGCATTGCGATCACTCCCCACAGATCAACAGGTACAAAGGGGGGCGTATGCAACGTACACTTCCCAAACATCTCCCTCGAAACACCATCGAATTTATGTTGTAGCTGGTCGAGGAGATCGTCCACGGCGGCGGAGAATTGGCCTTGTGCGTCGGGGTTCTGGTTATTATCAAGAAACCAAATTTGTTTAGCTGCGCTGTTTATTGGTTGTAACAGTGTAGATAGGTTTGTATCTGGTAGGAAGGGAGGGGGTAAGACGTACTTGGGTTGAGGTTGTTGGTGGGGGAGGGACGGCTTCGGCGGTGGGATCGGACATTTTGGATTGGTTTTGGTGTTATTTTTTGGGTGGGTGGTTTGGTTGGGTTGGTATGGATTTGAGATTTGTGGGGTGTGTGAGTTAAGTTGTATTTTGTGAGAGGCGGTGGTTGTATATAATGTAGTAGTGAGTGGGAGTATAGTATGAGTATAGGAGGTAAGGTAAGTTTAATGATGGTGATATAAGATGGGTTAGTATGGATGCCGGATTGGGTATGGTGTCATGCGTTTACGGGGATGGGGGGCTTGGCGTTAGGCTGTGTATGTGCCTGAGGCAGTAGTTGTGGTGGTGGTTGTATAGATTGTTGGGTAGTTATGAAGTTATTATATTATAGTGGTAGTTGCTGTGCTGGTTGGTATGATATGAGAATAGACAATTGATTGTTTAGGTGTACTGCACCTTGGAACTGTCCTTGGTGAATGCAATTGTCTCTGAAGTATAAATGTGTCACGTCCCGCGGATTGCATAGGCCGGTGTTTGCTGGTACTTGTTTTCGAGTACTTTATTTGGACCCCTCTTTTCAATATAAACGATGTATCAAGATGTAGTGTGGGTTCCTGTGTCATTCTTCAATTAGTAGTAATGGTTAGTGCAAGCATGGTTACTGCGGCATACTAGTACTAGTACAAGTATATATATCTACTACGTAGTACTTAGTAGCATCGTTTTGCAACAACTTGATTCCGTGACTTAGAAACATATAATGAGCGCAGTCATGATACGTAGAGTTGTTGCTAGTCACAAATATAATTAGCATATATGTGTATCAAAGGAACGGGCTTCCTGCTAATATATACTGCTGTACACCATCAATAAAGTCTGAAGGATGCCTGGTGAGGTTTATATGACTTATGTGAATGACAGAAAGCACTGATAAACAAACCTCAATTCTATGTCCACATAACCGAATGGTAGCTATGCAATTGCAAGACAGTAGTGGGGCTTACCCTCTTCATTGAGTCATACTTCAGACCCTCTCACTGCACTCACTTTGTATCAATGTAGACAAATTTGATCATCCTGTTTTGACCAACTACTAGGAAAGAAGAAACGTTGGTGACTTCTAGTCTTAAACGTTGTTAGTTGTAGCATAGCATAGTCAACATCTGTCAACATGAAGTTGAACCCTACATAACTCTGCAGAACACATCCTCGGCAACAGCATCCTACCTAATACAAACGAAGCAGCAATCCACCAGCCGAATTGGCATTTCAAATCGAATCACCGACATTTAATCATGCCATTGGACCCGATTCGATCGATAGCCGATAGCCACGGCCGCGGACCCGAAGCCTGAGGGTTTGGTGGGCCAATGACTGTCTCATCGGCTCGACCCGCATTCAACTGTATTGCAGCTGTCCGATAACGTCGCTTCCATTTAAATATAAAGTCGTAATCTCCACCTTCTTGTAACAGTTTCTCTCTCTTCCTTGATCACCTTAATTCTATCTACATACAGCCAAGACATAGTACCATGTCCGACGTTGGCCCTCCCATCGACCTCCCCGTGCTGGACATCTCCAACCCCCTCGATCCCGAGGCGGGGAAGGCCCTTCTGGCAGCTGCCACCAAGTATGGCTTTTTGTATGTCGACAGCCGGGGGACCGACTTTACGGCCGCGGAGGTGGATCGGGCATTTGAGCTGGTACATATCCCAATACACTTTAAGCAATATATACTAATGTATCAAATTACAGTCCAAGAAGTTCTTCGCCTCCCCAGTTGAAGAAAAGGCCGCTTGTCGCATTGAACCCAACGTTCGTGAACTCCACCATCTATAGCCATAGATATCACAACTTATCAACCCTACTTAGAACCGCGGCTGGTCCGGCATGCACTCCGAGACCCTGGACCCTGAGCATCAACGCGTAAGCAAACCAATCCCCCATCTATCAACATAGTATACAACCCACTCACTAACCACCCCGCAGACCGGCGACTTCAAAGAGTATATCACCCACCCACCTATACCCATCACCACCACCACCACCACCAACTAACCACCCACCCATTCCAAAAACAATAGAGCCTTCAACTTCGGCGAATTCACCCAATCCAACAAAGCCCAACAACCCCTCCCAGCATCCCTAACCCCTCACGAGTCCGAAATCGCCCACTTCGCCTCCCTATGCAACAAAACCTGTACTCGGATCTTGACCCTGCTAGCCTTGGGACTCGGCGTAAGCCCCTCCTTCCAACATCACCATCTTTAAAACCAAATACCAAAGACTGAAATAATTCCAGATCCCCCCCACATTCTTCACCACCCGGCACGACCCCACCACAGGCCCAACAGGCAGCATCCTCCGCTACCTCTTCTACCCGAGCATAACCTCCCCCTTAACCTCCACCTACAGCCACAAGACGGACGTCCGAGCCGGCGCCCACAGCGACTACGGCTCCATCACGCTGTTGTTCCAGCGTCCTGGGCAGCCGGGGCTGGAGATCCTCACGCCGGATGGGAAGGGGTGGGCGCCTGTTCCTGTGATTCCCACCACCAGCACCACCTCCTCCTCCGAAGAAGGAAAAGGAAAGGGGTGTGAATCCCCATTCCCCTTCCCACCCATCCTCGTCAACATCGGAGATTTACTCAGCTACTGGACGGACGGATTACTCAAGAGTACCGTGCACAGAGTGGTGTTCCCTACGTCGGAGCAGCAGAGACCTAATGCGCAGGACCGCTATAGTATTGTGTATTTTTGTCATCCGTTGGATCGGACGGAGTTGGTGCCTGTGCCGAGTAGGGTTGTGGAGGAGTTTAGGAAGTCTAAGGGGAGTGAGGAGAAGGATGGGGGAGAAGGAGGGGTCGGGGTCAGGGTTGGGTTTGGGGGTGGGGCGGGGATGTTGGAGGAGGGGAAGAGGGCGTTGACGGCGCAGGAACATTTGATGGCGAGGTTGGATGCTACGTATGGGTTTCGGAGGGGGGAGAAGGAGGGGGATGAATGAATATTACAGTAGGGATGATTATTCAAAATCTAGGATAGCGGTGGGTGGTGTATGAAGTGTCAAGTGAATAAGTACTAGATCAATAGCCACCGTCCAATTCATAGGGAGGCCACTCGTTTATGCACAGGTTCCAAAGATGCACAACAACCCAACTAAAACTGGATCGGGCTCGGCCCCAGCCCGATACTTAGTAACAAGCAATAAGAGGTAAATCACAATGCCCAAAGAAATCGCTTCCAGAAAGATTGTGTGGAGGGAGAGGTGGTTCACAATGCTAGATAGATAGGCTGCTACTCACAAAGGAAAATCGTTGGGCGTCAGGACGGGGAGGAACTAGGGGCTCGAACAGTGACAGAGAGAAAAAAAAGATGATGAAGACAGAAACAATCCAAGGAAGAAGGTAGAAAGGTGCACGCATTCATGACCGCTAGTATCAATCCATATGACCGGGAATCAGGCTTTATGCCCCGCGTTAATCAAACAGGTGAGAAATCGAAATATGATGGTGAAATAAAATTCGACGACATACAAGAGGTATCTTTGGGATGAAGAGCAACGCCGCCAGGTTTTGAAATGCCATGCACGGGTAGACGTGAAACCCTCGGAAACGAAACGGAATGACGAAATGGTAACAGATGACAGATACGACGCTATGCAAGCCGATATGCATTAGAGGTATTAAACAGTTTCATGCGTTCATATCATGGCGTGGTGTGGCACCAGTGACGATGGTACACCCACGCTGCCTTCTGGCAGTCTTTGCTGCAGTACTTGGTGCGACGGCAGCGCCGGCACTTGGCAAATTGTCGCTGGAATTCCTCCCACTTGCCACACTTATAGTATGCGCACTGCCGGATGCCGCCTCGCGACTCGTCCTTACGGCAGAGATTCCGCATCACCACACATGCCCAGTATTGCATGTCCTTGGAGTGGTGGCGAACCGTGAATTTCTCCACCAAGGGGAAGATGTTGACATCGTCCGGAAGCAGGTATTCATCTTCCTCCTCCGGAGGTTCGATGGGCGACACACCGTCCTCCAACATTTGGAGCTCACGATCAACCTTGAGCTTAGGAACGAGGTGGGAGTGCTGGAAGTAAGAGCGCAGGTTGCAGTACTTGGAAACATATGCGAGTAGCTGAAGCGACATAAGGACATCTTCGTCCTTGGGCATCGTCGTCAAGACGCCCTGCACCGCTGTGGTTGATCGGTCACGCACATACAATGAGTATGGGCTGGGAACAACAGCAGGCGAGTTGGTAGTATTGGGGGCTTGCGTGGGTGAGAGGCCCAAGGCCCCGTTCGTGCGCGTTGCATCGTTGTTGATCATGCTGCCATCCACAGTAGAACGGTGAGTGATGTTGAATGTCTCGGCTTCCTGGCTTTCAGAGGTGTCATTGACAGTCAAGTCGTGCGTGTTGGAGACACCCTCCAGCACAGTTTGCCTGTCGCCGTCATCGTCGATCTCCATACGGTTTTGAATACCGACAATCGGCTCAGCGGTCTCTCCAGAACCCGGGTCGTCACCCAGAGTCGAGCCCTCGCCATTTCCATCATCAGACTCACCAGAGGCTGATTGCTGTTGCCTCAGGGTAGGTCGTGGGCGGGCGGAAGGGGCTTGTGTGTTGCTGCGCAGCTGCGCAGGACCGCTGGGAGTGGTTGGGGAGTCAGGCTGAGACGCAAGGCCGTTCTGGAAACCAGGCAGCATGCTGGGAAGCCTCTCTGTGTCGCGCACGGGGCGTAGGCCAAAGCCATCGGCTGCATCCATAGGAGGAAGGGCAGTGGCAAGGGGCTGCATCACCCGGTAGCGGTGAGCAGCATGGGCATAGCGGGTATCATTGGATCTAAGGTTGTGGGCATCCTGTCCAAAGGTGCTCCGTTCCGGAGGGGAGGTCACAGGCACCCGAGGGGACGATGTGATGTCCATGGCGTTCGAATCCGAGGCATGGCTGTCTTGGTAGAAAGGGGGGATTTCAATGTGAGGCGGTGGCGCCTGGCGGCGAGAGGGACGTTGCTCGGTGTTCGTCGATTGGTCCACATACACTGGACGCGAAGGGGCGTCGCTGGTGATGGGTGCACCCTTGGAGTGGTGTCGTGATGAATGTCTCTGGTTTTCTGAATCCGCCCGTGCGCGGGCTTTTTCGACCACTTTAATATAGTTATCAAGGATGGTGGCAATCACGGGCACCATATCGGCTTCAACGACTCGAGTCCTCACGCTCTCCGAGCCCCGCACACCAATATTGACAACACATTGGAAGGCGAGGCTCCACTTCCACATCTCCATCAAATCCCGACTCCGACCCTCCTTGAGGATACATACCAGCCGTTCGATGCCGCCATCGACGGTCAGAATATCGCGGATACGGGCTGATGATGTGGTGAGATAGGCCAAATGGTTGAGGGAGTTGATGAGTGGTAGCGTTGATGTGCAATCCAAGGCACGCCGGTCGTAGAGGGTGGTTGTGATATTTACAGAGGCCTTGTTGACATTTGGGATGCTGAAGTTGACCTCCCGCATGGTGGGCGAGAGGATGGCTATGTGACACGGGATGAAGACCGGTCGGATGAAGAGGAGGATGTGATTGTCTCGATCAAGGGTGATGTAGTTCAGCCCCTATGGTGAGATGGGAAGATCGACGGTAGGAACGTGACCGGGCGAAGAAACGAGGAAAGGAGGAGAATTGAGTCTGAGGCGAAATCCGTATCGATTATAATCCCGTCATCAAGTCTGAGTCAGATATACAATAAGTGAACAACGAGAGGGTGCTGTTGAGCAGGCTGATGGACGGGAAGGATGGACAGGAGATCGTAGAACGATAGACGAGCGGCGTGAAAGGGGAGAGAGGATTGTTCAGGCCAAGACCCGGTCCGTCAGAGCCTGGCGGCCACGATGAATCACGGAAGGAGAGTAGGCGTCGACGAAAGACGGGGGAGCGAGACGCAGGGACTGAGATTAGGCGAGGGAAAGACTGCGGGAATACGCCAAGTTAAATTGGATGATGCCGCGAAAAGGCACTTGGGGTTAAGGCGAAGGGTGAATGAAAATGGCGACCGAGGGGGAAGTTGAGAATCGAAAGGAGGAGAGGAGGAGGAGGAGGAGGAGGAGAGATGGTCGGACTGGAAAAGCGAAAGCGGAGAGAGAGAGAGACAGAGAGACCACCGCTGGCCGTGTCAGGCGGTTTCGTCCTCCAGGCTTTTTGGCCCGCCACCCTTTTGCCTCTCTCTTACTCCCTCCCTCCCTCTCTGTCTTCCTCCCTCCTTCTCGGATTTACTAAAAAAAGGGATCTACTCCAGGTCCTTCTCTCGCCCGGAAATTATATCTATCAACTTGGTCCATCACGGAACTGACAATTAATGAGCGATATTAGGCCGTGTCTTTTTGCGCCCTTACCACCATGATGACCAATTCCCTTCGGTGTTCTTCTCTACCTCTCGGGGTTTGCCACCGAATTCAGCATCCGACAACCTGACCCCCTTCTGACTGAAGATCTACCTGGTGACTCTCTTGCTACACAGTCCTAGATTTTTTCGCAGTGGTATTATCCCTGGTCAACCACTTTCACATCTACAGTAATAGCACCGTGTCGCTGCCCCCAAGGTCGCGCGCATAATCCATCTCCTCGAACGGTCCCCATTTACCAGAACAAGCGGAGTCCTGTGTAGATCCAGGAGCAATGACCAGCCCGAGCACCCACCGGTGGTCCTGCATATGACTGAAGTGGTTAAGAACATTGAAATACTCATCTTATAGTCTCTTTCTCGGCCTTGGTCACGAGTTCCCCCCCTCCCCTTCATGGCGCTGGTGGTACGACTACAACGCTAAGTCCCTCAAGGTACACCGGTCTTCATGACCCTTAGGGGTTAATATCCCAGGGGGGAAGGCAGAAGGGTGTTTACTATCTTATTGTATGGGACCGTGCGACATGATCGGTATCCCTTTCATATGAATATGTGTTTCTGATTTTCAGTCATTATTGATAATTTCGTAATATATCCGATCTAGCTATCTTTCCGCAATCTCTCCTCCCTAATATGTGTCATTTATTTCCTATTTGTCGCAGAATACTGAGATAACATTTACCCACGCATAGAGAAGATGGGATATCGACAGAATAGATGTTCTGCTTAGACTGAAATCAACAAATCTCATTTAATCTTCCTGCATAGTAACTCTCACAGATGATATATTTAGATTTGCAGAACACTTAGTACTACTAGTATCTAGTAAGTAGTAGAAGTCAACGGTAAACACCCCTGCTAGACCCATAACTAACCAACCAGTCCTCGTGAAGAAATCAAGACCATCCTCACAAAAGGCCCAAATCACCCAGTCAATCACCATTATCCTGAAAAATCCCGGCAAGCAATCAACAACCAAAGCACCCACCTTACCCCTCTATCACAACGCGCACAGACAGTCCAGTCCGTCACATTCTATGATTAGAAACACAGGGCACAATCTAGCCGCGAACCGCTGCGGACAAGATACTAAGTACCCAGCATTAACCGCCCACGAAGAAAAGCCAATGCCGGTGTGGACGAATCACGCACGATCATGGAGCTTCCAGATACACCCACATGCGTCGAGCGGGCTGAAGATGCTGCGAACTAGACTACTAGTAGCCTGCTTATCCCCCAGACAGTGTGCAGGGTTCAAGTTTCATCGTCGATGGACGGGTTCGATTCCATGATTGATAGTAGTAAGAATTGAAGTCAGCCTTGACTATATATAGAACGGGCTTAGGTTTTTAGTTAGCGCTGAGGGTGTTGCTTCTGGAAGGACGGAGTTTGTTTGTCTTTCGCAGGAAAGGCTGGCTGGCTATAGCATGATGCGCAGTGATTGCTTGATAGCCGATATTGAGATTTGGTTGACGTGCATGATTCGTTCGGGTCTCGCGTTGAGCCTATATCTATTCTTGACACAGGCGGCTAGTAGTATACTACGTTGGAGATTTGTTCAAGTGTCAGAATCAAAAATGGTGACGGAACGGTTGTCTCTAACCGGGGGACTAGAGACAACCGTTCCGTCACCTTCTACTAATTCTATATTTGAAATCAGGATCGCTAACCCAGCCTTGTCTAAATTGCTCTACTACTAAGTATACCTTGGCGGTTCTCGGACATCTAACTCGCTGTGTGAATTTGGTACACTGCAGTAGCACAAGGTGTCCTCCGTAAGACGGACTATTTATTGCACTACACACTGGATACTAGTAGATTTGGCACAGCCTCGGTTCGGACATGAGGCGCTGCACCAGGCAAAAATTCAATGTGTATTGCTGCAAAAGCAAAAGGGACGATGTATTGCTTTATTAGCCTGCAGGCAGTAGTAATCTGCATGTAAAGGGCACTCTGCATGAGATTTATAAATCATGATGCAGCGGGTCGTCACGATCGGAACTGCCAATAAAACCAATGAATAGCAGTGGACGGACCTGTAAGTTAGGAGAAAGTGGATGCATTATACCATTGCCCATGGAGCAATATTATGAAAATAAAAAATTCTGGATATAGGAAAGTATGTGAAAACAGCTGAAATACTTTCATGCAGCTTCATTGTAGTCAGAAACAACAAAGGGACTGGAGTTCCATGGTACATCTTGCATGCCCAGGCCGTCAAAGCAGAATGATGGGGACAACAAACATGCTGCGGATAGTATCCGTACTCCGTAAGGCATCAGGGGACAATTTGCCTTGGCCAGGTATTAATAAGCCGCAGCAGCTCCATTACGAATGCGACTAGACAATATCATTAATAATTCCGATAAATGAAGACCTTCCGGCGGAGGGGCATCGGATGGGCTAGTCAGGCACAGGTTGAGCGATCCTCCTCCTCCAGTGGAGCGCTTTTCTCCAGGTGGACAAGCCGTACGCAGCAATACCCGCCCCATATCTGCCTTGGTATTGGACCTCCTGTCGATAGTCGATAGGCATCTAATTAGACAACAAGTGGTGACCAATTTCCCTTCCGAAGGTTAGACCCGCTTCAACGCACACTGACCATACCTATCTAATTCTATTCATCTCCCCTGCGATTCTCACGAGTTATTGGGGGTTGCAACTCCCGTCTTTTGGACCTTTTGTCCTTCGTGATGAGACACTTTCTCAAAAATCAATTGGAAGTGATTCGCCGGGGACGGCCTTGGATAGTAAGTAGTAATTGTGATGCATCACCGAGGATGAGCATGCCGAACTTATGCCGTGATAAAAAGGAATGAGTTCTTGCAGCTGCAGCCGGCAATAAGATTCGGGAACCTGACGTAGGTGGATATTACCGTCTCCAACGCTATAGATTAAATGACCAGTAGGCGCTGTCGCTTTGCGGACAAGAGTTGGCTCGCTGCCGCACAAATGAATTAAAGAATTAGAGAAATCTGAGAAGCATGGTAGATACTAGTCTACTACCCGGTCCGGCACATCCCCCAGCAGAGAGGTCAAACCACAAGAAGCAAAAGCAGATGGAAAGTAAAACAATAGCATTGTTCACTGCGGATATACAACTGGATGCAGTAAGTGAGGGGGTTACTAAGCACTCAGTAAATTCCGATGTTTGGCCAACAAGTGGAATGAATGGAGAATAACCTCTGACTTGCATTTGCCCCAGCCATCGCAATAATCCATCCCCGCTTGGTTTTCGGCTCAACGCCTATCAAATCTGCACAAGAAATTGTTGCTGCATGGTATGCACAGCATGAAGCTGGAGCTGGAGCTTACTTCTTAATGCACATCTCGCGAGACCGGTTGAGAGACGATACGGCTCTAATAGTAGTCTCGAAGGATGCGGCGGGTAACTAATCCACTAGATATTCGTCATCACCTATTCCGATCTCTTTTTGCAAGGCAAAGTCGGAAAGATTCAACAACCTGGCGCAATAAAATAACGGATTTATGCCTTCACGGTCCCTGAAAAAGGGTGTATCTCATTTTGAACGGGACAAACTGTTGATCGAAGCAACATGCAGTACGGAGTAGATGTGGAATTAATCTCAAAGTCCGTCGGAGTCCCCATCTATCCCGGATTCGATACTCGATTCTGCAGGAGACAGACATGGTGAACCGTAAAGTAGACGTTATCTAGCTATGACCATGATCTGCAAGCAGAGCATTCATTCTCCTCTTTCCTACCCGTTTAAGTAGATAGTCTTGGGAAAGGGGAGGGGGGTCGACTCGTGCAAGGCTTAGATGGACCGCCATTCGGCATGCAGAGAGCCATTCGCGTATTTTTGGTACCAATCCTTGTGGATATGCAACCTGGACTAACCGGCGATTCATGCACTGTCGGACTTTGCCCCGTGGGCAAGGAGATGAAAGTCGGCAGATGTCAAGTGTCAACGGTAGAGACTATGTACTATGTAAGTGTCTAGTGAACCCTGTCCTACGTTGAACCTTCCATGAACATTCCTTCAACTGCTGGATATTTACTAGTTAGATGGATAGATACTCGACTACTCCGTATGGAGGTCCCCTATTTCAGATTTGAAGGAAGACCCGGAAGAATAATCCCAACTAATTCGATAGAATGCCCCCCCCCCCCCTTTCAGAAATTCCCCTGTGGTTTTCGCGTCCCGAGCACCTCCACTTGTCAGCGATCTGGCCAACCAGAGGGGAATGGCAGCGGAAATTCTCCACCGGGTTGACCAGGGTGTAGACCACTTTTCCCCCCTTAGTGGCCTTGATGGAGACCTGGGACCATTTGGCGGAGTACCTACCTACCTGGGCACTTCGTACTTGGAGCTAGACTACTTGACTTGGTGGTCGTGGTATCTAGTGTCTTTTCTTCTGGCTGATTTCCCCTTAAAACCAACGAGGAGGAGATAAGTTACCCCTGGGTAATGTAACGAGGAGAACAAGATGGACCGGTTGAAATTGACCCGACCAATTCTTCTGCTGGTTTGGCCAATCAGGGATGGCACGTTCCCTTTCTGGTGAATGAAGGGCTGGCCGGGTAAGGTTTTCGTATTGTCACAGGAAGGTAACTTAATCCTCCACCGGATTTGGCTTTTTCATCAGGAGGCTCCGTTCTCTCTTCCCCCCGATCCTCCTGGAGAGAGGGAAGAGGAAGAGAGAGGGGAGAGCTCCCCCTAACTAACTCACTAACCGGTTCTCCGATAATCATCATCTGCTGGCTTCTGCTTCTTCCTTCTTCTAGCACACAGTCTCATTGTTGTGAACCCATTTGGTGGCAGTGTTCTTGAATAATTGGTATTGTTTCACCAGCCAGGATCACCAGCCCAATATTATCACCGCCCACCACCGCCGCAATAAGAGTAACATCATCAAATTTAATCTCATCTCATCTAATCCCATCCTAACCTGAACTCTGGTCCCTGCGGTCTTGTGTATTATGTATTGTTGGCGTCGTAGTAGTCCACGGTCATAGTCCGTACAGCCGCGTCTAGTAGCAGCCATCAGAGCCCCGATAGAGTAAAGGGCACGACTTGCTTTAGTCTGGTGAGGCCATACATGATTATTATTGGCGCTACGACGGAGTTACTACGACCACCTTCCATCTTAACTGCATGTCATCAACTGGATTTTTCCCTGCCTTTTCCCTCTCTGGCCCTTCCGTCCGTCAGGCTCCTCTCTCTTTTCCCCCTTTCCCTCTTTTTCATTTTTCATTTTTTATCTTAATCTAATTTTTTTATTTTTTTTTTTACTCTTCCCAAGATCGTATCCTATCCCATCCCGATTACCACTACTACCTCGTGCTCTCTCTCTCTCTCTCTCTCTCTCTCTGCTTCAGCAGTTGATTGCTTGCTTGCTTTCTTGCTTGCTCACTCACTCACTTTACTTACAACCAAAAACCCCACCCCCCTCCTTCCCACACTTACCACTACTGCTACTACTCCTCCCTACCACTAACTACTTTTAACTACTACTTACTTACTACTTACTCTCCCTCCTCCTCCCCCCCCCCCTGCTGACTTAAACGCCCGAACCACCTCACCATTGCCCCGGGTCGAAACTTTCTTTGCTCTCGCTCGGTCGCTTCCGCCGTGCACTCGCTCCACACCCAATCAACCCCCCTCCTCGTTCTCTCTCTCTCTCTCACTCCTTCTCCTTCCCTCTCTCTCTATTCCCATTCCTCCTCCCCCTACCGCCCTCTTCCCGCACCCCCCTCTCGCGGTTCTTACAGTCCCCTGGATCTCACGACGCCGCCGCCCGCCGTCAACTCAATTTCTTCCCCTCAGGCCCGTCTTCCGTTTCACAATTGACATCTTCCCTCTCCAGGGGCTCGTTCCGTCAAGATGGCCGACATGTCCGGCGAACAGATGCAGGCTAAGATTACCGCGGCTAGGCGCGAAGCTGAAGGCCTGAAGGACAAGATCAAGCGCAGAAAGGATGAGTTGGCCGATACAACTCGTACGCATCCCTCTTTTCCCTTTCGCATCTCATGGCCTCTCCCTCGCAATGGGGGAACAACAGCCGTCGTTGTACTCTTGATTGGTCGTGTGTTTCGTTTGCTGACTCTGGTTCCCTCTCTTCCCCCCAACAGTCCGTCAAGTCGCGCAGAACCAAACTGAAACCTTGCCTCGTATTGGTATGAAGCCCCGGCGGACGCTCAAGGGACATTTGGCCAAGATCTACGCCATGCATTGGTCGACCGACCGCCGTCATCTCGTCTCCGCCTCTCAGGACGGAAAGCTCATCATCTGGGACGCCTACACCACGAACAAGGTCCATGCGATCCCGCTGAGGTCATCATGGGTGATGACCTGTGCCTATGCCCCGAGTGGAAACTACGTCGCCTGCGGTGGTCTCGACAACATTTGCTCGATCTACAACCTCTCCTCTCGTGAGGGTCCGACCCGTGTCGCGCGTGAGCTCTCCGGACACTCCGGCTACCTTTCTTGCTGTCGGTTCATCAACGATCGCAGAATCATCACGTCTTCCGGCGATATGACTTGCATGCTGTGGGATATCGAATCGGGCTCGAAGGTCACTGAATTCGCTGATCACCTTGGCGACGTGATGTCGATCAGCATCAACCCGACAAATCAGAACGTTTTCGTTTCGGGCGCCTGCGATGCCTTCGCCAAGCTGTGGGATATCCGTACCGGAAAGGCGGTGCAAACTTTCGCTGGACACGAATCCGACATCAACGCCATCCAGTTCTTCCCCGACGGAAACGCTTTCGGAACCGGTTCTGACGACACCTCCTGCCGTCTGTTCGACATTCGTGCGGATCGCGAACTCAACACCTACCAGGTAATGCTGGCAATCTCTATCGCGAATTAATCAGTGGCTGACGAATGATCTTTCCAGAGCGACCAAATACTGTGCGGTATCACCTCCGTGGCCTTCTCCGTTTCTGGCAGATTGCTTTTTGCTGGTTACGATGACTTCGAGTGCAAGGTAAGACCTGACTGAAACTGCCCAATTAGTTGTAATATAGGACAACCGGCTGATCATATTTCACCTGCAGGTCTGGGATGTCCTGCGCGGAGACAAGGTTGGATCCCTGAGTGGTCACGAGAACCGCGTAAGCTGCTTGGGAGTCAGCAACGATGGCATCAGCTTGTGCACTGGATCCTGGGATTCTCTGGTAAGCTTAGCAAAAGCATCACTTTGGTGGACTGGGCTGTGCAGCATACTAATCGTCCTCCGTCTTACAGCTCAAGGTCTGGGCCTGGTAAAAAAGCAAAACGAACAAAAACAGCAAAGATACCCTGTCTCAGTCTTTTGCGACGTCCTCATTCCATGTTTCTTTTTTCCTTTTTCTGCGCCACTAGGCTAAATGTCCGCCATTGTACGATAATCTTTTTCACCGGGAGCAAATCTTGTCGCCCTTGCTCCATAATGTACTATCTCGGAGTACCGGCAAAGTTACCAAGAAGCGAAAAATCACGGGGCAGTCAGGGTGCCTAAGCATGTCGGGGTTGGGATTCTGCCGCCGTTCCCAGCTGGGTGTGACGAGCAAGAATAAGCAAAGAGAAGAGCAGAATGCCAACACGAACCGACAATGCTCGACTACTGGTGCGGTGGGTTGTAATAATGCTATTGATGTTTGAGACCTCGGGATCGTTGCACGGATATCAGTGCGTTGCTGGGCAAGAGGCAGCGCATCTCACATGTCATCTTTTGAGCTTCGAAGATTTGCAGGCCCCTGTTCTTATGTATTCGCGGGCTTGATTTTCTTACTTGTGTTCATTTCTTTCGATCTCGTTTTACCCTTCACCCTTACTAACCCCATCCCCCTTTTCGACGTCTTTCCCCTTGTCTTTTTCTTCAATTTCTGACCTCGATTACTACCATGATCGAGTATTTTTTTTTATTTCTCTTTTCACTTTCACCTTTTCTTTCTCCCACCCCTTTTTCTTTTCTCTGACCTTTCTTACTCACTATCTTCTGTACTTTTTGCGGGTGATGGATGGAAGGGAAGGGAATGTTTCCGGATAGGCCATGACGTTTTTCCTTTGACTCTTACTGCGATCTCCTTCTGTTACTAATCATCAGCCTACGTCTTGAAAGTGTCGGTTGTGTCATTTGAGTGTTTTCAAGCGGGCTTTTCCTTTGTTATATCTGGTGTTGAAATCGACCATGTTTCCAGCAAATCTTTCCTTTATCCCTCGGGGGGTTCGCCCCACGAAGTCATGTTCCGCGGCACTCTTATGTCCCGGCCTGGTGGTCAGCCAAGGTGTGGCAGAGAGTTGTTAGGCAGCCACTAGTACAAATGACAGGCAATACTTTTTTGGAAAAGCTCAATAATCTCTTTGGAATCTCCTGTTTTGTGTCATTGTACCTGCTTGATTCACCCTGCTTGGGTAGGGTTCGCTGGAATAGAACCGGGAGTGTCTGTTGGGGAGACCAGGAGGCTATATCCGTGATAGATAAAAGGGCGCTGGGATCGCTTGCAGCGGCCAAAAGGTCAGTCCTACTGGCAACGGACCAGCGTACACGGGATGTCCCAAGTTATTAATAGTTCCCACACGCGTGGGGTCGGCTGATCTATCGCCCTATACTTACTTACGTACCACTCTCAGGATGAAGGATTTGCCCGCGGAAGAGGAGTAACGAACAGGCAAGGCAACGATTCCGTACTCCACCGGGGAGGGGGCCAGATCAACAGGTACAGGATGACACTGTCTAAACCGGAAGGGCAGGGCGAGCTTTCAGTGGAAGGCCAGAACCTGGAAGGCCATTGTCCGGATCTCGCCCGACGGCGGAGCCCACTGGATCTGGGGGCCCTATCCAAAAGATGTGTCACTTGTTGTCTCCACAAGGGCGGCCAGCGCGGGCGATGCGCAAACCGTTAGGATCCGAGGTGAACACGTCGAACGCAAAACTTACCAGAAGCGGTGTTGGGAGTCCTTGTTGAGGGAGAGGAGCGACAGGATTTTTTCTCCGTGGATGGCGATGAAACACATCTGATGCTGCTAGATCCACTGGGGAGCTGCCAGTTGTCAGAGCAAGGAGGATCCTGATTTCTATTTGGAGGTAACCATCCAAGCAAATGGCCCTCTCTTTGCGAAGTCCCATCCTTCGTGTCCTCCAGCACACCACGTCATCAGTCGTGTGGACATTGAGTTAAGAGTAATCACGCGATGGCATTGAAGGTTTGGGTACGGAGTACAAGGGGAGAGAATAGAGTGGGAGAGCAAAAGCATTGCCATGAAATCCCACGTCGTTGTGGATGAATTAGAGTGTCGGCTTTTGTGGGCTCTATAGCACGATTTTTACATGGACTTCCACATCACATTTGAGCTAGCCATTCGCTTTAATTCCAGCCCTGGTCGATTGATGTTTCGATCTTAGACACACTAAATAATAAAATGCCATTCTTATTCTTTTAATTGAGCCCGGTCAGCCGCACCATGGCCACAGCCATTGGGGGATCAACCATGGCACCCGGGGCAACAGAATAGGATGAAATGGAAGGTTCTTCGCGGCTTCTTTCCCCGGGGGCTGATCTCCGATTTCTGAAACACCGCCCCTTTTTCCTACTGGCTGATCTTCGCTTTCGGGCAGCCCGTCCCTCTCTCTCTTCCCCTTCCATCCTTCGGGCCTCGATTGTTTCATCTCCCGCCACTTCCTTCTTTCCACATCCATCCCCCCCCCCTCAGCCTCTCTTCTCTCTTCCTCTCTTGCCTTTTGCTGCCTTCCCTTGGATCAACACTCTGGATTTCCCTCTCTCTTAGGAAAAATACCGGAGCGAAAACCATAAAAAATATTCTGAAACGTGTACTAACACTCTCTGGGACACGCTCCTCTACACCCCCTATTTTTCGTGTTGGAGACGACCCTTCGTCATTGGTTTCGCTTCTTTTTCTCGTTTCATTCACTTTCCCCCCCCCCCGCCAGCTGCTCCTTACCAGGCAAAATTTTTTTGAAATCGAAAAAAAAAAAACTAGGCCCTTACGGTACCCCATCGTTGACGCAGATCAAGGCGCAGCCAAGCTCTAAGAATATCATTGACATTGTCATCGTCTTCGACCTTGTTTTAAAGCCCGGAACCCCCCCCCGCTTCCTCCTTCACGATGTCATCTGCTCAAGACGAGTTCAACCAACTCATAAACAACAACCGGGAGAAATTCTCTTCTCATCCTGAGGACCGTGACAACGACTCGGTTCACTCCTCTGACGCATCCTCGGACCACGACGAACCCCAATTCTCCGACGCCGAAGACACTCCCTCTGCCATGCACTCCCGCAACCCCAGCAGTTATCGCGTCCCCAACACCGTGTTCGACGCCAACACTGGCCCCAAGGGTGTCATCGCCGATGCCCAGGCCTTTGAGCGTGCTCGCAAGAGCTCCTTTCGCAGAACTCTTCTCGGCGTCGCTGGTCTCGATCGCTCCCACTACAACAAGTCCGTCAACGACGACGCTACACTCCTCCAGAACTCCTCCCCACCAGATGGATCTTCCGCTAGCGATGATGAGGAACGATTCCTTCACCAATGGCGCGCGGCCCGCATGCAGGAAATGCAGGCCCGCAGCCTGAGGAAGCCTAGTCCCCGGCGCAAGTTGTACGGGTCTGTGGATATTGTCGATGCGGTGGGATACCTGGATGCTATTGAGAAGGTCACATCCGGCACGGTAGTAGTCGTCTGCGTTTATGACCCAGAGGTATGTTCTAATCAATTGCACTATTTGTCAAGAAAACTTGTCGCTGACCCGACGCTTCTATAGTCCACAACCAGCAGCATTGTTGAAGACTCTCTCAACACCATTGCTCGACGTCAACCCACTGTTCACTTCGTCAAGCTCCACCACGAGATCGCCGAGATGGATCACATCGAAGCCCCCGCTCTGCTGGCATACAAGGACGGCGATGTCTTTGCCACGATCGTCGAGATCCTGAGACAGATTCCCAAGGGTCGGAGCTGCAGCGCAGACAGTCTTGAAGACCTGCTCAGATCGTATGTTTCATCCCCGTATCCCTTACCAATGACCAAACCATTGACCATTCAAACAGATACCGTATCTTGTAAACGAACAAGCACTCTAGAAACGCTAAATATTCCTCTCTTCACGTTCATATGACAGCGATAATGTTCTCTGCACGAACACTTCAAAATGCAGCAAAGCGGGCGTCCAGGTCATCTCTATCCTCTTTTCCTTCTCTTGCATCCTCGATTGGCCGGCAGTGTGTCTTGGTTGTTTGTTATTTCCTCTTATTTCTCTTTTCATTTGTTCGGGTACATGCATGCATATAGACGGATCTACAGTACATACGTGACAGTACTACTGGTGTTCAGGCAGGCAAGGCTGGGCCTTTGATTTTACATGGTTGATTGATTGTTGATTGCTTGATTGACCTTGAGCTTGAGATATCCAGCACGGTTCTTGGTTTTTCTCCTTTTCGTTTTATCTCCTTTCAGATGCCATGATGTGTTATTATCCGAGACCAACTATACATCTACTTATTCATCTACTGCTCGGAACCATTCTACCGATAGTCTACTTGGTACTGCTGGTATACGTAGCATACACACCATGCCACCGGGCATGAAATCATATGAGACACTCTAGACAAACCGAAACAACCTAACCACACTACACTGATATCAAGTTTTTTTCCACAACAAAAGATACACAAGTGTATAAGCAGAGGACTCACCTCACCCAGCTGCGAGTAATTACTTACTGATAACTAATCTAAGCCAAGCCAGTAACCACCACCATCATCATCATCATCATCAAGTGCAATGCTCCAGAAATAACAATACAGTGCCCAAATTATTTTTTATTCAATGCTTATCACCCACAACTTACCCCCTCCTGTCTCTGTTCCGCTACTTATTGCACAACGAATTATTAATACCCATCCATCCATCCACCCATCCATATACCACTTCAATTCTTTCTTTTCTTCCTGGTTTGTTTTTATTTTTTGATAGTAAAGAGAGAAAGCACACCCCAAGATACAACCCAAATGGAGACTAGTAGATAGACAGGTAAGTAAGCAAGATAGACAATAGACAAGTCCTAGTAGTTGTTCATAGATGCGAAATGTAGCCAGTAAGGTAAGGTAAGGTAAGTAAAGTACTCCGTAAGTAGTAAGTTAGTTAGTAAACTTTGAGTGGAATAAGGGGGAGGGAAAATAACAGCCAGAGAGATACAACAAGATAGCAATTGTTTCGCCCAAAAGAGGTCTGATAAAAGCAAAAAGAAAAGAGAAAAATATGGGGTAACTAAGTTGTTGTTGCTTTTGTTCACAAAGCGCCTTTCTCCTGCGTGAAATCCCACAGCATCTTGATTAGGGTGTCTGGAAGAGTATATAGGTCGACGTGGAATTCTCCCTCTGTGATGAGATTGAATTTGGTTAGTTAGTGAGATGAGGGATTGCAAAGGGTGGTGGTAGGCTTACGCTCAACATCGTTCTTGGTATACGAGTCTGGGGCTTTGTTGTCGTGCACCATCTGTACTACCTGAAGGAGGTCGTCTTCGCCGAGTCGCTGCAGACCGTCGGCCAGCTTGTCCATGTCGACCTGGGATTGGAGTCATGTCAGATGTGTTTCTACAATAATTTTTCTTCTTCTCTGAGGCTGAGACGTCGGTCGCTTACACTCTTCTCTGTCCGCTTCTTCTTCTTGGATCCCTCCTCTCCGGTTGCGGCGCGTTTCGACTTCACGCCATTCTCGTCTCCTGGGACGGGTCCGGATTCGCGGAGGAGGGCTAGTAGAGCAGGCTTGGGGTTCTTGAACGTCTGTGCGGGAGAAAAGAATTAGCACGATCAATGGTGCCCCGAGAGTGCTGGAAGACACCGAGAGCCATCTACTCACAATAACGTGCTTAGATTCGTAACGAGGCTGAGCAAAGTTCAGATCGTGCGTAACGAAGTGCTCCTTGTCGGCGGCAGTGAGTCCTATCTGCATGTCGAACTCACCCCATCCTTCCTCTGAGATTCTGAAAGGGGGATTCTTGAAAGCTGTTCCGATGTCAGCAGCTGCTAGTGATCCATCTCCCAACTTTCTTGTGTAAAGTCGACCAGCTCTATCGCCCGGCTTCCAATGGTCTGACGCGAATCGAGGGGTATCTGAAGCGCAGAGGAAGTGACGTACTCTGAATGGCCCTGTCGCCGAAACTAGGGTGCAGCGTGTATGTCACTTTGTCAAAGACATTCGCAGGCACCTGCTCGCCGTGTTCGTTGACAACGTAGATCTCAATTGACCATGATCGGAGGGGGAATCCTTCAACGCCGGAGTCTTTATTCCTGTAGACGCGAAGACGCGCACGAGGTCAGCAAAGAGAGACCTTTCCTCATCTCAAGCTTCTGCCCTTGTGTCATTCTCTGCGGAGGTAACCGTGTAGGAGCCTAAGCGCACACCGAATCGCCATCGCGCGATGAGCGACAACAGATGTGTGAAGAAGGGGAGAAGGATGACGGGGAAGAGAAGCGGTGGTGATTCATTCAGGAATGACTCGGGAACCGGGAGGATTAGTAGGAGACAACGTACACGATGTGCTGCTCGGTCACCAATCTGACATTTCTCTTAACCTGTAGAAGTAGAGCAAAAGCGTCACGTTAGTGTCATGCGATCGAGTGGAAAGTAGACCGAGTTTGTTCGCGTCAAGCGCCAGTGGGAGAGGGAGCCATTGCTGAATCTGGGGAGGGAAGCGGAACTCACGTCAGGCATCTTGAAAGAGGAGGGTGGATCAATCGCCCGTCAAAATCAGAAGAAAAGAACTAGAGGTTGTCTTCCCAGAGACCCTTCCCGCGAAAGTCTGAATGGGATGCAGGAGCTATCGGATGTAGAGGTCGCGCGATGCCTAGGTGAGGCAAAGTCGGATGTTTGGCGGGAGTTCCTGTCGGGAATCCTGCAGATTTCGGAGCGGAGTGAATGGTTGTTAGCGGGGGGAAGGGTGCAGTTCAAAAGGTGTCCGACCAGCGAGGGATGGGGTTAGACGTAGAAACAAGAGAGGGAGGAGGAGTGAGCGAGAGTGAAGCTTTCCGCGGGCTGAAAGCCGGGTGGGGGATTGGAAGTGGTTATTGACTGCCGGACGGCCTCTTTCTTTCGACGCGGCGGCGCGACGACGCCCAAGGGTCACTCACTCACTAACTAACCGCCAGCGTCCAACAGCTACAGCCACCCACATTCGAGTTGCATCTCTTTACTACTAGCTTTTCAAGGGAGGGGGGTTTTTCTGTGCTCCGGGAATTCACTTCAATTTTCAAATGTAACATCGCGGGATAATCCATCTATTCGAAGTTTGGGGGGAGAAAAAAGGGAAATCCCTCCACTACCATTATCATCAGAGGGAGAGCCAGGTCAAACTCTATCGATCGATTGTATAGGTACAATAGGTGCAGGCAGAGACTTCGTGAATTTCATACGTATATTTTGGGGGCATGTGATGTCTATCTACTGTGTACCAAGTCGTCGCACGACATGCAAGGGACCACATGGCCGAAACCAAGGGCCCATGCATGCATCGACTCATGGTCTCGCCATGACCGGCGTCATTAATTCTGTTTTCTCTCAAGCAGGGGCAGTGAAAATAGTAAGGAGCTTGATGCTTGTGAGAAGAGAAAGGGGGAAACAAAGATAAGTCGGGATGAAGGTGAAACAGGTCTTTCATGAGCAGTCCACATCAGACTCGTTATGCTGGGGGAAAGGGAATCAAAATGTTCATTAACAATAGCCCTCTATATCACTGATGACCGGGAAAATCCGAGGCCAGGAACCTGCTTACTGCTGGCTAAGCAGCTTCTCGTTCTCTTGCTGGGCCTTCTCGAAAGCGTCCTTGAAAAGGTTGGCGTCTAGAATTCGATGTTAGCAAAATGAACCTCTCCCCCCTTCTGTATCTCGATGTCCACTTACTCTCACTGTTGGCAAAACGGATGGCCAGGGTCTGCGCCTCGGGCTCACCCTCACTGACATCGGCGGTAGCGTTCCAGACCCAACTGCGGTCACTGCCAACGTTGGGGCTCAACTTCATATCGGGAACGACTGGAAAATCGATTAGCCATCCAAGTCCATACCAAATGATGAATGGCAACACTCACTGTAGTGGTTAGCGCAGACCTTGAGGGTCTTGTCGCGGCGCATCACGAGGCGGGTCTTCTGGTTCTCCTTGTGCTTGAGCAGGCGGACGTCACCGGTACCACGCTCCTTCCACTCCTTGCTGTCACGGTCGAATCTGAAAAGCTTGGCACGCATCTTGAAGGTCTGCTCCTCCAGCTCCTCGTTGGTCTTGGTCTCCACCTTCTCGGTCAGGCGGATGACAGGCTCGAAGTGAACCTCAGGGGACTCGGGGGCCTCGTCCTAGAAGTTTGTAACAACATGGTTAGCCACCGGTAGCCAATATAACGGGTCTGTCGTGAAACTTTTGCGGATCCAACAAAAGGGACAAAAGAATCAGGGGTAAAGAGGCAAAGTGGACATCAATGGAGGGGAAAGCGGGGTAACGGTTAAACTGGCGTAAGGGAACCATCGACACCAGCATAGCGAAAATCGAATGCATACCTCATCTTCACCCTTCTGGGCCTTGGAAGAGCCGGAGGGCTCGTCCTTAGCATCCTCAGGCTCCTCCTGCTTCTCCTTCTTGGGGCCACCGCCGAACATGGAGAAGACGCTGTCGGTGGTCTTGGTGGCAGTGTCCTTAACGGCCTCGGCTGCGGACTCGGTCACCGACTTGGACTCCTCGGGCTTCTCCTCAGTCTTGGTCTCCTCGGTGGCGGTGGTGGTCGTCTCCTCGGGCTTCTCAGCGCCCTCAGGAGCGCTGATGGTGGGGTCGGGCTTGGTCTCAGCGACGTCAGACATGGTGGGTGGTATGCGTTGGCTGTCAAATTTATAAGCGGGCAAGTTCCGATAGATATGGATGTTTCTGGGGATGTACCTGGTAAGAAGGAGGAAAGGAAGAAATGTATCGGGGAAGTGGGAGTCACTGAGGAGGGGTGGGAAAATATGGACGGGGTTGTTTTGAGGTGGGTAGGTTCATTGCCTAAGCGCCTAAGGCCGCACTAGCGCCACCGCCCTGCAAGTCTGGCTTTGCTGATGCCGGCGGGCGATCCGCAGTAACTATAACTTCGATCACTACTCCTTACAGAGAGACGTCTAGAGACCGAATTCACTCGTGAGGAAAATCGAAAAGGTCATGCACGTGGCAAGTGTCAACATACTCCACTGATACATAATCCAGCATGTATTTCAGGAATTTATCCCATGATTCAGTCCGACCCTGATATCTGACCCATCCTTTCGCCTGCGAGCAACCCCAATAAACCAGCCCAAGAAGCAATCAACATAGGAAATTACATGAAAGGAATGAATGTTATTCTGAAAGAACTACTGCCGAAATGTTGGCCTCCAATTATGAGGCACAGCGACAATAGCCCTATTGCGAACACTCCGACTGCTGACAAGACCTCCGTCTCACCAAACTTCGGGCTCTCTTCTGCGCCGTATCCAAAGCCTTGCATTTCCTCGCATCTCGGAGGCGTTCTTTCACTGCACCAAGGTCAAGTGCATGTGCATGGAAGCTGATCTTGTCCCATGTGCCACTCATCATCTCTCTGGCTCCTGTATGCACTTTATGGGTCTGAGCCTGCAGTGCAGACGAGACAGCTAAAAGTGGCTGCACGGCACCTTTCTTGACGACTTCGGTAAACTGCTCTGATCGGGACACTACTATGTCCTTCGTTTCGCGGGATATTTGCAACGACTCGGGTCGCAAAGTAGACGCCTCTTTCCGTAGAAAGTGCGCCCTTCTTACAACATCTCCCATGAGCACTTGCAAATCGGTGCAGACCCGACCATAGACCTCGGACAGTCCGGTCTGCGCAGTGGCAAAGTCTCGTAAAATCTGAGAGGCAATAAGATGGGCTGCGCGTTTCCAATTCTGGATCTTCAACCACGGTGTCCCGAAGTCCACAGATGTTGTCTGTATGTGGGGTTTCGTTGTAATCGTAGTTAGTGTCACATCCACCTGACCGTATGCATCCGCGCGATCTAGTTTCAGCGTGTACACCCCGTCGAATAACATCGAGAGTTCATATTCGAGAGGCTTGTCATTCCGACTGACTTGAACGTTAAACTTTGGCTGTTTTTTGCCAAGTTTGTGAGGCGGCTTGATTACAAGATGACAATCACCGACCACCTGGATTTCAAACGAGTCCGTCATTTCATGCCGTTCGGAAACATACTGTACGCCTTCTATCAGGTCGTGTAATCGCGTGTTGCTGCCCACATGGTCCCCTCGCAGCTCGAGGTCGCCAAGCGATGTAGGCAACACGGAAAGTGATGTCACTGTGTGCAAGAAGCTGGTAGCTGGGACACTGCTCGAAACAGGGGTGACAGCTTTGGTTAGTGTATGGTCAGCATATTGTCGAGAAAAGGTCGAGTTAGCGGCGAGCATGGCTGTATGGCCTAAGAATACGAATACAATAGATAGGATACTGAAAGCAATGAAACGATACGCAGACATCGACACCCCATAGTCCCCAATATAAGGACGAGAGAGGTCTTTATGGATGGATGTGCACCATTTCCAAAATGAGTTGGTGCGCGGGGAATCCAAATCCTCCAACGCCATTTGACATGGCTTTCTGGGACAGATGGTTGCTAGGGACGCCAGGTTTCTGTTGAGTTGCCCGGGTGTAATACTTTCAAAGGTCTTCAGATCGATAGGATACCTCCTGAGAACCTTGGACTTTCCGTCCAGGGCATTGCGGAATTCCAGACACATGTGGAGACTGTGGGGATTAAGAGGGACAGGGTCTCTAGACATCGTCCAGAGCGGCTTTTCCGAGATGACCATAGTCGGAATACCGTGTCGTTCCATGAGGATGCGGGCCATTTTCTGGGTCTCAATGTCTTCGGGAGTATCAGTGCCAGATAGGAAAAAGATGGCGACATCAGGGAGCGCCCATTGGACCGAAGATGAAATACAATAATCGGCCCCTGACCACATCGAAGAGCACGATGGCCGACCCTTGAATTTGAGTGTGATTGTGCTGGGCTTGTCCATATGGGGATCCGCGGTAGCCTCAGTGCATTCGTCCACAATAAGCTGAACATGAATGGGGAGGAGCTCGGCGAAATTGGGAACTGCGCCTGCACCAAAGGACGTTGGAACGACGTGATACCTGGACGACTCTGTGGAACTGCTCTCGAAACCGCTGTAGGTGCTCGACACTAACACATCCCCGATTTTATCGAGAATGATGTTTCGAAATTCCGGGCTGCCAATATATACCACATGGAAAGGCTTGTCGGTGTCAAGGCTTTTCCTAGTCATAGTCTGCTGCACAGTAGCCGTGACAGTGGAGCCTTCTGACCTGTGAGGAAGCTCCTGCTCCAGTTCTGCTGTGTCAGATCCTTCGAACACTCGGATGGTATGCTTCAGTTCTACCCGTTCAATCTCGGGCCAGTTCTCCGGTTCAATGAACTCGATGGACTCAACCGACTGCCGTAAAGCTGTCTTGGTGGTTAGGTTGCTGTCATCGATCGAGTTTCTTATGTGAGGGAAGGCCGATGAAAGTTCCTGGGACACTGAAACGTTGCTCCTGGATTCATAGCCGTCACCATCGAACCCGTCCTCGTCATTTGTATCCATGTCGCTGTTGCTGGACCGGCCATCAAGACTTGCTACGTCATCAGGACCGGTCTGATCGATCAAAGACCCAAGATCTGTTTGTTCAGAGCGAGTGCCATCTTCCGAGTGCACGTCGGATGCACTCATCGTCGCCCAGCTTTCGCTTAGGGACTTGGAGTGGTGTTCCATTGGAGTTGACGTCATACTGATAGGCCGCGATCGCGATAACCACTCCTCTACAGAGGCACTCAACGGCGGGAGAGTGGGATACTGTAAGCTTGAAGCGGTTGAAGGGTGTTGGGAAGGCCTGGGGTGAGGCTCTGAAGAGTCAGCCATGGTGTTTGCGAGTGAATGTTCATCAGTAAGGTTCTTGAGGGAAAGAGCAAGTGAAGAGCTGCAGAGTGGAGCTTTGACCGGAAGCAGAGGACGACGGATAAGCTCAGGAATGAAGAGGATGAAGAGTCAGCGGAAGTATACGTTAACTTCAACAAAGCAAGTTCTGCTGTCTACTACAGGAACACTCTGGCTGGGGGAGAGTCTGCCTGGATTGTCCGAGCCTAATAGGCAGATGCCCGATGACAGCCTAGGCGGACGATGAATTGCAAGTGGGGGGTGAGGCGCTTGATGCTGCTGTTGTTCCTCGCGGCCCGGGCGGAAGATTAGGTCAGGTGCCTCACTCGGGGCAAGATGGATTTAGTTCATCAACGTGTTTTCGGAAACTAGCGGTAAGTGGAAGGGGGAAAGCCTTGTAAAGAGAAACCGACCGAAGGTGAGTTGGGGAAAATGGGAGCAAAGGTAGTAGGGAAATGCAACGGTCAAGGGAGATAGATAGATAGAGATGACTGGAGTGACTGGACCGGAAGAGAAGGTGACGGCTATCTTGCGCGGGGCACCTGACATGGGATTATCACGGCAGTCGTGACTGGAGGGCACTAAGTATACATCCACCCTCTCTCTGGCTGGGTCAGGTGGGAGTTAAGGTTTGTGTTGCTCAGGCTTAGCGGTAAGTAAGTAGTAGGAACATATCTCATCAGGTGTTTGTTGGCTGTCTATCATGGCTGCAGGAGACGCCAGTGACCCCAGCTCCAAACTATCGCCGATAAGGCATCCGTTATCAGGCTACTCTCAGGCCACTACACCCGATCTAGACTAGTAGGCCCCTCCCCCCCCAATCTTGAAGAGGGTCCAAGTCTTGGTCTTGATTCTCCCATTTGACCCTTCCTTTATTTTCCCGAGAACTGGAGATGACCGACCAGATAGATAGTATTATTTTAGCACCAAGTACCAGGAGTACTTCAACATTACTAGAACATCCCATGCAACTATGGACAAACAGTAACTTCAAGACTTCGAACCATGACAATATATGGATGCGCGTAAAAGTGTGATTGAAATGAAAGGAAATAAACTTCCCGTTTCAACACGAGAGAACAGAGAGAAGCATATAAAGTAGATATGTACATTTCATGACATGATGTGGGAAGAACGGGGCATCGAACTAAAAAGAAATATTCAAAGGGGAAAAGAAAACAGCAGATTGATGTCAAAACAGCAAAATAGGAACACATGAGGCTTGCGCCAGGTGGTGGTAAGTAGGGACAAAAGACATTTGATAGGTGCTAATACGGTGCGGATGGCCCGTTCGGCAGGTGGTAAATAAGTAGGCTCTAAGAGATCTGCAACAATGTCTGGTCGTTGTCGGTCGGCGATCCTTCGCTTGTCCATACAACACCCCCCCCCCCAAATACCAACTGGAGATTTGCTGTTCGCTGCCTGACAAATGTCAGGGGTAAGCCACGAGGGCGAATGAGAAACCACCAAAGCATGCCCACCACCACCAGACATTGGGTATCACAAGCAGATGCATCCAGCCACGCAACCTCACAACGTACGTTTGTGCTCAATACGAGGAACGAGATTGCTTCTGGCCTGCCATCGCTCCAGTGAGCCGAGCAGAAACGTGGTCCAGACGAATGACTTGGTAGCCGACTTGGATTCCCAACAGCACGGCCTTCTGAGCATACACTTTTTTCTTTTTAGAGTGATTGCGGCAAACCAGGTGAGATATACGAAGCACGCTAGATGTATTTGTCCATATTGATGAGAATGGCCACACCGTCTTCCACGTAAGAAGCCGTCAGATCCGTATAACGCCGTCCAGAAACCCACAGCCAACGTAACATGCAGGCTCAAGCAAATAACTCCAAGGGCGAACCGAGTAATGCTCATAGTCGAACAAATAGGTACGGAAACCAGGAGGCGAAGATTATACAGCGAACATTAAAGGGCAACAATCCGAATCTATGGGGATGCCCATCCTCCAGCAACTTCGACCCACTCGGCGAGACAACTGCCCTGCTTGCCTTCAACATCCACAATGTCGGTGTCACACCTGCACCTGCAGCCGACACCGTTCTCTTTGACGGGATCAGGGTTCGCCCAATACTCGTCCTCTTCAATGCGCTCCTTTTCGTCCTCGGTTGTCGTCTCCAGCCAGGGGATTCGGGGCAATTGCCGTGCAGGAGCATTGGCAGGGCAATGCTGAATAGTAGTGTGCCGATAGCCGAAGTCACGGAAGTAGTGGATGTCACTGGGGGACAGGAGAATACCGGCGGCCAATGAATGGATAGGCGCATCGCCCCACTAGATCAGTCAGGTCAGTCATATCATATCGAAGACGAGTCAGGTACGCGAGAACATACTCTCTCCATCCAGAAACCTCCACTCTTATCCATCATGTCGAAGAACTCCTCATATTCCTTGCTGCGGAAGAAGTCCAACCGCGCAATCTCGAAGTTACTCCAGAAGTGGCACATGTTGTACTTCTCGCCTTCCATGGCTTCCGGGTCAACATCGGGAACAGTATTTTCACCAGGCTCATTTTGAAGAATCTCCTCAGGGAGTTTCTCTTGCTTTTCCTCCTCGGGCTTAGGCTCTTCTTCGGGTTTCTCCAGGAACATTTCCCACAATCCCTTCGATTCCAAGTTGTGTTTCCGCTTGTAGGCAGATGCGTAACGGAAGATGTTGGGGACGGTCTCGCGAAGCTCCTTGACAGCGATCGTGAAGCCGTAGGTCTTGTTTGCTTCCGCCATCTTGATGAATGGATCACTGGTTAGGATGTCAGTATTGGCCGATACGCAAGGATCCATGGGAGGGTCGTACTATGTAATATCACAGAAGTACTTGATCTCAGGCTCAAGGCGCCAGTACCATTCGTATTTCATGAGCAGGGGGTGCTTGTAGAAGTGGCTATTCAACGGTCAGGATGAGTGACAGCGGAGTGGAGATGATTGGGAAACTTACCCGGAATAGAATCGGCACATATGATGGTAGCTCTCCATGCCTCCGTACATGATGGCGGCGTCACCCTGTTTCCGAACACCCTCCTTGGCGACTTCATGATCAACCCAGTCGGGGTAACCCCACATAGACTCATCAATCTTGCCAAACTCAACGGGGGCGCTGGTGTAGTTCTTGACCGTCGCCTTGAAGGCGTCATCGAAATCACCATCGTTCAGGAAGACGTAAGGGTAGTGGAACCAGCGGTTGAAGTGTCTTTCAATAGACTTGAGCGACTGAATAACTCCGTCCAATTCCTTGTTTCTGGCAAGGACGACGAAAGCGGCATTTGCGCGCGGGGCGTCGGTTTTCTCGACGGGGAGACAGCCGGTAGCGAAGACTTTGTCATATTTTTCGCTTATTTTCCTGTCAAATCGGCGCGTGGTTAGCTATCGAAAATTTTGTATCTCGTGCCTAGCGAGTAGAACGAACCTGATAGATGGCGGAGTACCGGCAGGGATGAGAATCCCCCCAGGGGAAGCAGGATGTCGAACAAAAAGTAGTAGGATAAGGACTATTACAAGGCATGGAAATAGTAAAACAAATCCCAGGGGTATCGAGATCGAAGAGTTGCCCTTTAAGCGTATCCTCCGTTTGAAGAAAGCGAATCTGGACAGATTACGGCCTTTCTCGCGCGACGAGTCATCTAGGGGCAGACTCGGCGTGGAGGGCAGCCATTTCGTAACCCGTTGAACGAGGCCCATGGGTGCAAAAGATGGGCCACACGGCTGATTGAACAGCGATGGCACACAGTAGTTTTCAAATATCAGCAGTCAAATGAAACAAGTTTCTCAGATCGAGACCTCTCTTGTCGGATATTAACCCAAAGGGAACGTCGATGACAAGAGATATGTACGTCCGCACGCGAGCGCCGAGGAGCGAGACACTGATTTATATTTCACTTTCCAAAGCCGAGCGATATGAAAACACAAAGAAGCGATTAAAGAGTATTATAATCGAGAACGGATGGAGGATCCCGATCTTGACGAAGCGAAGGGTCGAAATAAAGAGCGGCCGGAGGAAAGCCTCCTTTCTCGCCAACTTTTCCCTCTCAGTCGGCCAAGCAGAGGTGGGCGGGGGGGAAGTCGACAGCAACGCAAAGGACTGGTGTCCGGAGCAATGAGGCCGAAGACACGATTGTGGTCGACGAGGTCATTAATCACGATCAGAGGGCGGGGGGTGGCAGGCTGAGGCTGGGTGGAAGCCGAGAGCTGCGGGAGGGCAACCGATGAGATGAAGGCTCGAGAGAGGATTATTTGGGGATGGGGATGGGTGGAAGTTCCGCCAAGGCCAGGGAGGCGCAAGCGGTCGTGGTCACAGATGGTAATTTACAGCCTACCCTCCAGCTCGGGAGTCGCGGCTCTCCTTTCCAGACTGGTATTCTGGTAACGTATTACAGTTAGCCTATTTGCGGTAGTCCAACTGGTTCTCCCTTTCGTTCTTGTCTCGTTTTCACCCTCTTCCTAAATCCCTCTTTTCTCCCAGACCAAATCACTGGCGGTAAATTATTGCTGACTTGGTCGGTTAGATTGGTGGCACTTTAGTAGAATGACCAAAATTACGTCTAAAAAAGGCACTATAGAAACCACACAACCCTTGTACTGTGGTTATTGGGGGGAACTAAAGGGAAACGAGTCAAGACAGCACCACCGAGAGAAAAATTCGGGCCTGATGGGCGGTAAGAACTAGGAATCTATCTGTACAGGCCTTACCGACCCAGCCTTTGGTACTTACTTTGGGAGTTGGGAGAGTTGGTGCATGCAAAAGACCCTGAAGCTTAACCTGCAAAACACGTCCTCCTTGAATCATTCTTAATTTTGGCCGGGTGGAATCTGGCAGTCGTCAGCAAGTGTCAAAGGGTATTTTTTCCTGGGCCCTTTTGAGTTCACGATCAGCATGGCGAACCACCTTGAAGGGCAATTAGAAGTTGAGAGACCACATTGGATTTCTATTTATGTTTAGTGTTTTCCAGAACCAGTTCCTCTCGTTCGTTAGCTTGGCGCGACCGTCGTCAGACACCAGAGGGTTTAGATCTCTTGGTGGCCGCGCTTCGTAACCGCGGGATGCAACCACTCTCCCTTGACCACGCATGTGTGTCTTGGTAAGTAGTAGTAAGAGTAGGCAAGACAAACTTCCCTAAAAGGGGCCAACACTAGCTTGCTTCAAGATGTTGTTTTGATTTTCTCCGCCTCTACAATATTGAAGAAATGAGAGAGCACCTTTACCTTCTTACCTTCATCTTCATACTTAGCCATGATGCCGATAGAGACAGACGGACGGACATGGCTCGTTCATTGTGTAATAAATGGGCCCATTAGCATGTCTCTTTCACTGTCCTGCAACTCGGGTCCGAGATCTGACTCGGATTTCGGATGCAAGTTCTGCTGGAATTGATTCATTGTATGAAATCAAGACTGATAATCTCCTACGCATATGGCAGGAGAATAGGAGATCTGGAGTCGACTAAATGGTAGCAAATTATCTAGTCTAGTGTCCAGTTTCTTACACTACTATCTCCTAGGTTAACTCTAGCAACCTAGCTAGGTGGTTTACCAGGAGATAACTACTCCATACCGTTAGTTAAGTAGATAGAATAAATACTCCTTAGTAGTTCTAGCCGGTGAATTCGGCCCGACTGAGCAGGAGATGTATTGTATGGTAAAAGCGGGCCATTGGTACCTGGTGGTATTACGAGCCGGTAATTTATGCATCCAGAACCCTGAAATCCCACCGGGACCCACACGTGACCCCGGTCCTAAGGGGGGATCTGTCAAGGTGGCCTTTTAAGGCTTTGCTGGGACACGGCAGTCTCTATCCCGGATCCTGGATAGAAACGGATGCCCTCGTTAGGATTCCGAAAGGAGAACTCCCGCTTGAGTTTCGCCCAGGGCATGGCGATTGGATTGACAGAGCTTATACATACATAGTAAGTTTGATCATTGTCCATCGCGGGATCTCACCAATGACATCACTACCGGGAGAATAACTGCAAGTCTTTTTCATGGCGAGAGGAAGCATCGTGCGGAGCTTCGCGGCTGAGCTGTCACATTATCCAATGCGTCGGTGAAAGCATGTAGGTCGGTAGATATTTTACCTACCCTTCATATACTACACCTTATGTAGGTACACGCAACATGCATGTCGGGACGATAACTCATCTCATGCACGGCCGTCTTCAGGCATTAATGCTGGTAGTAGTACTGTATGTAGTACGTATTGGTCCGTCATGATCTGCAGCGCGGTCAAGGGACTATCCATCTATCTATCTATCTACTACTACTCGATGCTCTCCGGAGAGTAAATAATAACTTACAGTACATACATAGTCCTATTATTAGCCACCCGTGTGGGCAATCAGATCCGTGGATCTGCCGTGTATACTAATTGTAGAGATCATATCCGTTCATGATTCACGTAGTTTGATGAACCCGAAGAATGTCGGGGAAGAAGACCTGTCTTTGGAAACTCAAAAACGTGGTGGTGTGGTTGTTGCGGGAGGGAGCAGATGATAAAGTAACTACTACTACTACTACTACTACTACTAGTAGAAAGTAGAAATGGGGGTCGTCGGGGTCATGGCTACTACCCACGAGGTATAGCAGCCCGTTTCAGTCACCATCCTATGATTGTTTCCAGCATCGGTTATTATTTTATTGTTATTGTTGTTGTTCTCCCTCCCCCTTTCCCTTAAAACTGAATCAAATCAACAAAGGGTTTCATAAAGGGAGTCGTGCAGTCCTATTCAAGGAAGGGGGTTTGAGAAACTTGTCCATTGCGAGAGGAAAAGGATGGCAGAAGGCGCGAAGGTGAAACGGCAGGGGAAAGAAAGAGCCCGTCGAGGGTCGAGGTTCCAGCTTCCAACGGGACTAAACCCAAGATGATCTCCAAAACAAAAAAAAACGTCCATGCGTCCCGTTGAATTGGGAAAATTAGAAAAAGAACCTCCGCCCCCTCTCTCCTCATCTCTTTTACGTCCCCGAAAAGGATCCCCTTTTCTCTCCTCCTAACCCTTGGGATCCGTTTGGTGAGGGAGTTGCGCCTTTTTCACTTGAGTCATGATACTTCTTTATTCTGTGTGAACCTAGTACTTACTGGTTGTCGTCACGGCGAGGGCTTCGTTACTTCATCGCATTCCCTCATTGCTCCTCCCTCCGTTGTCGCTTCCCACCCGCTCACCACTCCTTTTGGCACAGCCTCCATGACCCTGTCGGTCGCGACCGACTCTAATCGTCAGCAGCCAGATACTACTATCTTGGCCAATATTTCTGCCTACCTTCTTCTAATCTTGCCGAACCTCTACCACTCACTATATATCGATCTTTTCTCGTTACAGTTCTTAAAGTGGACGCCGTCCCGGTGTGCCGTCCAGCCGGTATAGATAGCGCTATACACTCCTTCTCTCCGCTCGCGCGCCGTTCGAATACTACTTGCACACGACAGCTATTTCCGACACAGATCTTTACTCCTAGTACGAAGCTTCCTATAATCATGACTCAACCAATTCCCACATCGTACGCACCGGTTGCAGAAGGGAATCCCAAAGCTCCCGCGATCCAGCTACCCGATGGCACCGTCCAGACGTCGGCGCTTCTAGTCCCGAATAATCAATCCGCTCACTATCGCAGCGGCCATGTCAACTTGGATACTTTCTCGCCTGTCAATGAAAATGGGAGCTTCGAATTCGATCGGGTCCTGAAGACTGGAAAGGTGTTTCGTCGCGTGAAGCACAAACATGTTAGTCGTTTGCGCCGTCAGCCGAGCTCGGTTTAGAACTAACTCTGTCGAACTAGGCATTCAGGGCCTCCTGGAAACCGGCATATCTCGTTCTACGTCCCAACCTTCTGTCAGTATACAAGGATGAGGAGGCCACGAGGCTCCGAGCCTCTATCACGTTGTCTGAGGTCACGGCCGTTGCGTCGGTTAGGTCCCCCAGATCCAACCGACAGCACGTTTTTGGCGTTTTCTCGCCGTCGAAGAATTATCGCTTCCAGGCATCTTCGGAAAAAGAGGCCGAAGCTTGGATTAGACACATTCGATCAGAAACCCGCATGGACGAAGACGAAGAGGCCTTCCTCGCCTTATCAAAGAATAGCGACACCGCCGGCAACAACAAGCGCCGCATCTATGACACAACCGACCACTCCGATTTTGATCAGCGCGGACGACCAAGTTCTCCGGAAGTCGGAGATTCATTGTCACCCACTTACCATTCGAGGCGTTTTGCCTCGCCCCATGATCACTCGGGAAATGATATCACGTCATATTCAGAATGGTCCGATGGCCCTGGGAATAACAACGGCGTTCGCATGACATCGCCTTCCATTCAAAACCAGCCTGCATCAGTGCATAGCGACGGCCCTTCCTCGATTCCGCGCAATGAGTCCGCAGTCCTACGTGACCCGGAGAGAGTTGTATGCAACGGGTATCTTCAATGCCTCAAAATAAAGGGATCTATGCGCCACTGGAAGCGACTATGGGTTGTGCTGCGCCCGAAAAGCCTTGGTTTCTATAAAGATGAACAGGTATGGATTTTATTATTTCGCTATTTATCTAGCATTCCATTCTATAGCTTTGACTAACCATGCCATGTTCAAGGAATACTCTGCCGTCAAAGTCATACCCATGGCACAGGTGATCGACGCTGCTGAAGTCGACCCTATGTCACGTTCGAAACACTTCTGTCTTCAAATCATCGCGGAAGAAAAGTCGTATCGACTATGCGCACCGGATGAAGAATCTCTTGCAAAGTGGCTAGGTGCTTTGAAGAGCATTCTCGTCGCCCGCAAGAAACTGGAGCCTGCGCCCGGAGCAGCAGGCCTCCATTAAAAGAAGTACACTTGTATAACAGATTCCGGAACCCTTCGGATCCCACCCCTTCTATACATTCCTCTAAGCTTTCTTGATATCACTTTGGATTCTGGCTAGTCTACTTCAATTCTTACCCAACTATTCTCCTTTGTGGTTTCTATGTTCGCCGGTATTATATTACTTCGCACTTGCTCCTGTTTGATGATACATACCCAATGTTCTTCATGATATTTTGTCTTAATGTCTTGTGATTTTATAACTGATTGTATGAGATGTTGAGACCCCGCGAGTAAGAGACATTACAAGTTGGGTTAGTCTCGCGTATGGCTTGATTGTCCTGGATGACATGAGAAGTGATGCGGGTTTTGCGTGCTCTTCATGTATTTCTTCTCACTTTTATTCCTCCCACACAGCACACCTTGTGTTTGACTGTGGTCATGTAATTCTATCTAGTACCAATAATGCTCTCTGTGCTTCAGTCATGAGCACATTGTGTCAATGCTAATTTCACTACCAAATTTGCTTCCGTCCTCAGCAGTTCCTCAATCAGTGATAGTAAAGTAAGCCCCTTGCCTACTACCTATCTAACGTACCAACACCTCCATAGCAGGTATAGATACTTATCACCTATCCCTTCCATACTCATTACCACCATCCCCAGGAATAGCCTCATACCCAGCACCAGCACCAGCCCCTCCCCTCCCAACCACCACCGCAGGCCCCTCCCCATCTACCTCGCAGCTCTCCTGATTAACCACCAAAAACGACAAGAACACCACCGTAGCCCCAGCCCAGTACAACCCGCTCGCATACTGTCCCTGAAGCACGATCTGGCCCACGAGCGAGAGCGGGATCGTTAGACTCAATCCAACCGTTACTACTAGTGGTGTGGTGAGGAGCATTGCGTAGGCCCAGGCGATGTCGGAGGCGAGGGAGGCGAGGGCGTTTACCTATATTTAAAAATTGGTATTAGTTATCTGTGTATTGCTGACGTGAGAGAGGGGTAATACCAAGATAATCGTCCAGACTCTCCCCGTATTAGGCATTCCTACAGATTCTATACCGAGGACATGAAGAATGATGAAGCCTGGCCAGAGAAGGACCGTGTTGAATAATCCTACTAAGCCGAAGAATAGTTGCATGTTGACGCGGGATTCGTCTCCCACTTGCTTTTTTAGCACGATGGTGTATACGCCGTATAGGATGGCGCTGAATGCGGCCATTGCGTCGCCGAGGGCGATTTCGCCGGGGGTTTTGGAGGGGAAGGTGCTCCCGCTGCCGCTGGTATTGCTGGGGTTGTCGGCGGGTGACATGTCGACGCGGGATATGAGGATGATGCCGATCAATGAGGCTATTACCCCGATGAGTTTGCGCATGGTGAAGCGCTCGACGCCGATTAGGGCGCCGAAGATGAGGGTCCAGACTCCTGGTTTGGGGTTAGTTTTTGGTGGTGTTAAGTGGTGGCGTACGTACCGCTTGTTGAGGTGAGAATTGTGGTGCTTCCTACTGTTGTGTATTGGAGACAGGCCATTGCGAAGTAGTTTGCCTGATTGAGTCAGTATTAGAGGATGGATGGCTCAATTAAATCGCTAGTACTCACGGAGAACTGGTGCTTGTTAGCTTTTCAGTTTGGAGATTCAGTGTAGCGATATGCTTACCCATAACAAACAGAACTCAAAGCTCAGTTTAGCTGTCGCCTTCAATCCCAGCTTAGATGGCTGACCTCGGGGTGCAGCATTGAACCCAGCACCAGCCCATGTTTCAGGGTCTTCGTTCTCGCCGCGCCAACGCTCCCCACTTGCATTGTGACTGAGTATACCCTGTGCCTCGACGTTCGTATCATGAGAATCGAGGTGCTCCAATAGGCTTTTGAAGGACCGAATCCGGTAGAGCTTCCCTGCTTGCCATAGTTTCAAGAGCCGTCTAGAGAGAATTGTGAAGAGAGGAAGGATGAACAACGAGGTGTTGATGTATGTCACGAAAAACGGTTTTGAGTATGTATCGTCGGCGAATATCGTCTGTGAAACATAGACAGAGACTAAATCAGCACTACACCGGGTATATTATAGAGTGAAGGGTCAAGAGTAGTCAAGCACATACACTGGCGAGGAAGTTCGAGGCCGTCCATAGGAAGACCACGACGAGCAGCAGGCAAATGCCCAATGTTCGTCTCGCGGCACCGACCAAGATCGAACCTTCCGTGGTCTCGGGTGCTTCCATGGTTTTTGAGTCCTTTCCGCGTACTTTCTCTGGCCGTCAGTAGCGGGCGATAAGAGGACTCGCTATGAGTCGAGGCTCTATAGAATTCCCCGCCGGCGCACGCGATACGAGGTATACTAGAACCCCCGGACCGCGAGTAATCCGTTTTAGATCATGGGCACAAACGAAGGCCATACAATTTGAGAACACCACCTGTTCCAGCAGGCGATAAAGAAGGGGGCGTGGACGGAGTAAGATCGGGGGGATTCACCGGAGGAGAGAGGGAACCCGGAGGCGGAGTGACTCTGCGGTGTAACCCGAACTGATAACGCCGAGCATCACGAGATGCGCCGAGATAAGCACGCGACGCTTAGCCGATCCTGATCTCCTCCACCATACCACTGGCTCGTTGGCCAGCGGGATCCTCCTTGCTTCTCGGGTTCTAATTGGGAATTTGAACTGACTATGAGAAACATAGGTCTTGCGTAATACAACACTAGATGTGTGGTAATTGCCTACTTAACCGGCTATACTGTACAAGCTTTCAGCAGATAAGCAATAATATTCCAGACTCCTACAGAACATGATAGTACCTTCGTACCAGAAAAGCAAAAGGGAAATATTAAGCAGAATCAAGACCATCAACGGATATCCCATGCGAATTGGCAGGCAAACACAAGACAAGGAGCGTGACACATGAGGAGCTCCATAACTGTATAAGTGCAGGTGTTCCCAAAAAGAACAGCTACGCTCTTCCAAGCTCAAAAGTTCATACGAGGCATTGATGTGCTCTGACAAGCACGAAATGGGAGCGTTCGGAGGCGCGTACAGCGAAAATGGAGCGGGCTTGAAGCAGAAATATAAAACGTTCGCAAGGCATGTCTAGTATAGGGGTCATTAACAAGCGCATCCGTCACGCTCACCATCAAGGTGGATGTTGATCGGGTCGCTGAACTCCCCACTAAATTCTTCTGCCTCTTCTTGTGCCAGAGCGCTCCGGGCGATGACTGAGTGCAAAATTAGCGATGCATTGAACAGTCAGGATAAGTAACCAACCTTCAAAAGCCTGCTCAACGTTGACGGCTTCCTTGGCACTCGTTTCGAAGTAGGGAATGTTGCCTTTCGACTGGCAGAACGTCATAGCCCGTTTCGAAGAGATCATCCGCTTGCTCTCTTCCACATCGATCTTGTTACCAATCACAACCTGAACCCCAGTCAGTATTCGTGTCCACCAGCCTAACCATCGCGCAAACCATGCGCCTAGGTCAGATAAGATTGAAGGAAGGAGAAGTCCTTACAAAAGGGAAGCTCTCAGGATCCCTGGGGCTGGCCTGGATCAGGAACTCGTCGCGCCAGCTGTCAAGGGCCTCGAAACTCTTCGAATTGTTGACATCGTAGACCAAGACGCAGCAGTCCGCACCGCGGTAGAATGCAACGCCGAGGGACTGGAATCGTTCTTGTCCTGCAGTGTCCCAAATCTGTTGAGAACTGGTTAACTCCAATTCCCAGAATCGCTCCGTTCATCTTCGCAAGCGGGGGAGTACATGCCTGCATTGTCACTAGCCGATCATCGACTAGAACCTCCTTGGTGAGAAAGTCGGCTCCGATTGTGGCCTTGTAGCTTGCGCTGAACTTTTTGTTGACCTGTTGAGCGAGATGAGGGTGAGTGGGGATCCGAGGAACAGCTGGGAGATAAGGCCACCGACATATTGGTTCATCAAACTCGTCTTACCGACGCCGCTATCACCAAGAATGATAACCTAAGAGATTCCGAGAGCTATGTGAGTAATTGAAGCTTTCATCGAGGCGGCTTGGCCTGCATGAGTCGGGGGAGGCGAGGTACCTTCAACAAGACCTTCTTCCGTGACGACATGGTGGAGATATGAGGGGGCTGTGAGTGTATGGACAAGTCAAGCTCTGTCTATAGAAGGGGAAAAAGCAAAGAGAAGTTCGATATAATCCCGTCAGCACAGCGAGGGATGCAGTCAGTTGGCAGAGACACCGAGCGAGTCGGGTAGTTGTTGTCAAGTAACAAACAGGAAGAGTGATGGTTGGGCCTGGACGGTGAACTGAGCCGAGCTAACGGCGACGGCGGCTTTCGATGATGCACGCGGACGTGGGCGGTGGAGATGGCGGTCAGCGCCCCATCCACCCGTCAGTGACAAGCAGCAGCCATTCTTCCCCCCACGCTTTCAAATAGTTGTGCAGGTCGTTGGGGTTGTCGTGGTTTAACTCGTTTGGTCCCTTTATTAACTTAGTAACATCTGTGAATATAGCTATACGTCTCTCCCTCGGCGACTCTGAGCTCCACCATGGCTCCATGATATGAGGGGTCCGCCGTCCGTCCGCTAGATAGACTCTCACCTTATCACCACTTGCTATCAAATGGCCCACTGGAAAGAGGAGTACTCCGCCGCGCTGGCGGCTCGTGATCGACGAGAGAAAGCCAGCATAGCTATTTACGATGCTTGTATGTCGATCACCCTCACTTTCTGGGGTAGTCCACATTCCCGGAAGTATTCTGACCATTCTCTGACTATCGTGACAATACATTAGATACCCAACTGGCCGATCGCACGGTTCAGGGAGCAGCGGCTGGCAACCCACCGAGCTCAGATCCGGTTGAAGCACAGCATGTGCCATCCGACACTTCAGCATCCCGCTCCAGCAAGGCGCTTTCAGGAGCAGGAACACAAGACCCATCTCTACAAGAGACCCTCTTAGCTACACGTGCAGACCTGGCTAAGGCGCAGCGGTCACGCTCCGAACTGCAGGACCAGCTCACACGCATGACCGCTGACTTGGAGAAGCTGCGGAAGAGAAGCACTCAGGATAGCAGACGGATTCGCTTACTTGAAAATGAGATCGCCCATCTTCAACTACGCTTAAAGGATCGAGATGAGGAATTGCGCGGGAAGGCAAAGTTATTGGAGGTATGCTGCTCCCTTCCCTCCTTTATTGGAGTCCTTCTAGTGTTGCTGACACCACCTCAGGATTTCCAAGACGAGCTGGCATCGTTGAACCTTCAACTGAATATGGCTGAAGAGCGGTCATCCCGGCTGCAGAAGGAGAACCAAGATCTTGTTGATCGCTGGATGGATAGAATGGGTAAGGAAGCAGAAGCCTTGAATGATGCCTCTAAGTTCTCATAGAGGGCTACGCGACGAACCGACACGGCCATGGTTTTCTACCTGCCTGAATTGGATGGCTTATTGATATATAATATCTTCGTAGAATACATATTATATCCGAATGATGCTGTGTCTGTCACAGGCACACGAGCAGAAATTATGATTCTCAAGAAATGTCATTATCTACTACGTTTAATCATCCCAACATTATCTTTCCCTACGTATTACATCTAAATCTAGGGGCCAGAGTACTCCTATAGACGTAAGTAGAAAACTGGCCAGTGTTGTAGTGTTATTGCCATATGCTGATTAGCACTGTTGAATGAGAGACAACTGATGCCTTAAACCATATCTTCGTCTAGAGTGACGAGATCAAAACACTTTACAGTTCGCAATAACAGGTACGTACCCCTTTCACCATGGATATGATACAGAGATCTATAATGTTAACCGGGTATATACATTCACAATGATGAAAAAGATCGCTTCGAGTTCCACAGCTAAGCCCCATCACTAATTCTTCTTCTTCTTGGCAAGACGCTTTTGAGCCCGGATATCCTTCTTCATACGAGAATCCACAATCTTGTACTTGCCCTTGACACCACGAGGACGTCCAGAGATACCCCTGTTGTTTCCCTTGGCAACCACCAACTTCACTTGCTGCTTGGGCTTCTTCTTGGTAGCCCTGCTCATCAATCTCGCAATGGCCTGCGACTTGTCACGCTCGCTGAGGGCTTCGTCATCTGCCAACAGTGCAGACTTCTTGCGCAACTTCTCCAGTCGCTGGGCGGCCTTGAACTTCTTGCGACCCTTGGCTTCCATAACCTTCTTGATCGGGCGAGCGTTGATGGCGCGCATCTTCTCCTTGATTGCAGCTGCGGCCGCCTTGGTGATAGGACGGTTCTGGATACTGTGCTTGTTCTCGTCGTCAAGGAACCACTCGGGGAGACCATCGCTATCGCGGAACGCAAATCGGTTGAAGCCATCATCAACCACATCAGAAGACTTCTTCTCTCCAGTAGCCATCTGTTGGGCGAGAGCCATAGCTTCCGCAGTGATGATGTCGATATCTGAGTAGTAGAGTCAGCATTAATTGTCCAGGGTACAAGGCAAAGACATGCCACATCTGCGAACTTACCGAGCTGCCCGTTCTTCTTCCGTGGATCCTCAAGCTCTTCAATATCTTCTTCATCCGAGTCTTCCATCGCCTGAACAGGCTTCTTGGATTCCTTTGCCTTCTTCTTCTCAGACTCCTTGCCCTTAGGCTTAACTTCGATGGCGTTATCTTCATCTGCCACTTCGTCATCTTCATCCTCGACATCGTCGATGTCTTCTAAGCCTTGGAATATATCTTGGTCGAAGAATAGCGACGCACTGTTGGAAAGGGAAGCTGACTTGGTAGCTTTGTCGCCGGCAGAGCCAACTCCAAGACCCTCGTCGTCCGAGTCCTCGCCATCTTCCTTGTCGTCATCGGAAAAGCCGTCCCAGGAGTCGGCTTCAAAGTCCTTCCTGGCCTTCTTTGCCCGTAGCTTCGTGTCCCGGTCCTCCTTGCGGTCCTGGTATTGCTCGTACAGGTTGTCAAGTTCCCGCTCCAGACGGTCTTCCTCGTCATCGCTCTCCTCGAAGTCAGACTCGGAAGCACTGTCCTCGCTATCACTTTCAATCGTTGCTTCATGGCCGGCAGCGAGGGTGTCCCTGATTCCACCTCTCTCGGCGCGCTTGAGCGAGAATGTGGCATCCTCGCCATTAGGTCCCAGTTGCTCCTTTCCGATATCCATGGGTGTCGTCATGTGCATCTGTAACCGAACGATTTCCTTGCGCTTCCTTTCGTTCTCCTTGCGGCGCTCTTTCTTCTGCTTGGAGGTTTCCTTTTCACGAAGGCGCATCAGCTCCTCTTGGATGGCCAGCTCGTCATCCATAGGAGCGACCTCCGCGACTTCTTCGGTCTCATCCTCCTTGGCTTGACCACCCTTCTTCACAGCGAGACCGAACTGCTCCCGCACCTTCAGTCGCCACCTGAGCAGGTTCCTGAATTCCTTCTTACCCAGAACCTTGAGATCCTCACAGCAGGCTTTGATTTCGTCGGTCGTCTCTTCTAGTCTCTCCAGAGTGGCGAGGGCAAGGTCACCACTTGGGGACTGTTGGAAGCTAAGTTTGTTGCATGAACCCAGGATGGCAATGGGATCAGTGGTGTTGATGAATTCAGTAACCGGGACCTCCTTGAATTGCGTGTAATCGCCCTCTTCGTAACCCTCTCTCTTGCGCTTCTTCTTCTCCGGGTTGAACACCTTGGCCTCGTTGTTGGGGGTAGGGTCCGCAAGTTCTGCAAAGACGTGCTTGGGATCGAGGAACTTCGGGTCAATGCGCTTTGGTGCCTTGTAATTGCGACAAACAACGAAGATTTCTGCAGAAACGTTTCGAGAAGACGGAGGTTTCGTCGCCTCCACGGACGCAAAGAGTTGCTTGAAAACCCACAGGAGCGGATTGTAGTCCTTGGATCTGAAGACCTTCGTAACAAATGTACCGCCCTCCGCCAAGAACTCCGTAGCCAACTTCAGAGACTGCAACACCAGCTCTGCCTGAGAGAAAGCATCCTGAACCCAGGCGGTACCAACATTGGGGGCACCATCGTGAAGTACGGTATCAGCCTTCCAGTGCTTCAGGTGCTGTCTGATTGTTGTGCGACACTTCTCGGTCGTAATATCGCTCTGGAAAGTGATGACTCGGGGGATCGGCTTAATAGGCGCAAGATCGACACCGACAATGATACTCTGTGCGGGCATGCATTCTGCAGCAACTTGACACCACGACTGTGTTGCGAAAGTGGTCAGCCACCAGACTCGGCGTTAAGTATACACTGATGGGTTGTACTCACACCGGGTGCCGCGCAAAGATCGAGAACGACTTTGCTCTTCTCCAAAAAGCCATACTTCTTGTTCAGCTGAATCAGCTTGAAAGCAGCTCTCGCTCTGTATCCCTTCTCCTTCGCCAGGCGATACCACTTATCCAAACGACCTTTACCATGCTAAGTCAATGTCAGTACTGGAATTCCATGACCGCGGGACAGACCAATGCCGCATTACCTTCTTTTGAATCGCCATCTTGAGAGATGGGGGGTCGAGGCACACTCGACAAAAAAACGAAACCGCTAAACAGAAAACTGCGGATGCAAGTGGGTAGGATGGTGAAAGCGGTACAAAAGAATGTATCCAGGAAAAAAAGTTATCGGCGGCCTGGATGGATCCTTTCCTGGCCTTCTCCACATCGGCCCCGAAAAACAAAAATTTCCCCTTCCAGCCCGGATGCATGTGGCGGTGCAGGAGCACTAACACACCAGCCACATCACACCCGTTCACCGCCTGAGGCGGCGAGGCAAACAAAGACGGTCAGCAGAGAGCATGTGACGTGATGTCAGGCGTGATGCTGGCCCGATTTGGCTGATAACCAACCAAAGACCCGCGCTGATCCTCCGGCTGCCATCGCTGGTGGCTAGTCTGCTGGCCTCCCCCCCATCATAGCATCTCCTTTCACTTGGTCTTAGGCTTTTCCATGCTTTGATCTGCACCTCATCTCGCATTCGGTGATGTTATTAGTTAAGCTTTCATGCCGTCGATGGGATCTCGTAAGAGAGTAAAGCCCAGCCCCCTCGGCGCGGACTCCAAGTCCCCAACAGCGTCCGACGATGGTGCTACATCGCTTTCCGCAGGCGGAGACCATGCAGAATCAAGGAACAGGGGGAGCACTGCGGTGAGTCCGGGTTTTCAGTAGCCCTATATCTCCTTCTGCATCCGTCCCGTATATCTAATATATCATCTGGACTATCAGAGTTGGTATCCTGCTGTCTGGCCGGCAGTCTCCAGAGCATCCAAAGCGGCTCCCGTTACCGAGGTTGCCCGTGAGAGCATCTCCGCTGCTCAAAACTTAGCACCCCGACTCACTTCCCGCTCAACTCCTCAGCTTGATTCTCCTAAACCATTCCGAAACCCCTCCCTCCAGCTTACTCGGAAAGTCGGCGCGTCCAGCAGGTCTCTTCCCGCCGACGCTGCGACAACGAAGATAAACATAGCTTCTGATGGCACTACATTCACCCCTGAAGAGGATGCTAAATCGTGCCCGGCTGGCATAACAACGCAACCGACCGAGGAAGAAGCATCGAAAGACCAAGAGACAGTAGCTGCGGATGATGCTGATAAGGGCCAATTGAGTGCTGCTCCCGAGTCTACTACAGATGATAACCGGGACAGTGCTGACGCAGGCCCGACGTCGACTGTCCAAACGGGTGGATGGTTTTCATGGTTCTATGCCCCGTCAACAACCGACAATTCTGCCCCAAAAGATCCGGTACCAGATCCTGTGCCAGATCCTGTGCCAGAGCCCAGTGCACCAGAGCCTAGTGAAGAATCACCCGTGAAACCCCCTGTATCGGAAGACGAAGAGCAGGCAACCTCGGAAGATCAGGGGCAAACAGAGCCAGATAGGCCGGAACAGGATAAGCCTGAAGAAACGCATGATAGTTCGCAGAACACTCTAAAACGTTCTTGGCTTCAAATGTGGTACGGTTCATCAACAAAGGGGCCAGAAGAGCCTGCAAGCAAACCTCCAGATGACGTGGATAAGCCAACTACGCAAGACGTGCAGACGGAACCTGCACCAGCTCAAGACCATGATACGCAAGGGGCAAGTAGTCCCGCTACGATACCTGTGAAGGACCCGAAGCCCTCTGGATGGTCATTCTGGTTCAAAGAGTCTTCAAAGGGATCTGATAAAGAGGCCCCACAAGATTCTGAGGTGGCTAGCGCCACTATTTTGCCAGATTCCTCTTTGAAAAAAGCAACCATTGAAGCCGAACCGGAGCTAGAAGCAAGGGCTGAGATTGCGAAAAAGGGAAGCGTTAAGCTTAAGAGCAACAAGAGCAGCTCTGCACTACCTGATAAAACCACATTACGTCCAGAAGCAGGTCTCAATGACTTGGTTCCGGGACCACCTGAAGCAGCAGCTTCAAAACAATTGCGAAAAGTGTTACCCAATCAGGTTTTGCCAAGGTTCCACGAAACTTTTGCTGTGCAAGAAAAG